GCTCACAGCGCCCACAGCACCCCGGACCCGCTGTGGGGAGCCAACGTCCTCCTCAGGCAACAGCCCTGTGAGAGAGGGCAGAGCAGAGTGCTGGCATCTGTGGGGGTTTGGTCCCCACCAAGGGGTCCCCTGCACCGTGCTGGTTCCTACCTGTGCTGGAGGTGCTGGGGGTGGCTATGCTGGAGGCAGGTAGAGGCGCAGGGCTGGTGCTGAGGACAGCCCCTGGGGTGGGCTGGGGTCTCTGCTGCCCAGTCATCCCGGGGTCCATGCGAGGAACTGCATCCCCGGGGCTGGTGGTGGTATGGCTGAGCGGGGCCCTCCGGGTGCTTCGCTGGTGGGATGGGAGCCCCTGGTCCAGGGCTCAGCCGATCTCCAGGACGAGGTTGTGTTGGACAGCTGTGGGACAGAGCTGGGCAGAGCCAGGGAGGGGCTGGGGGGCCCTCCTGTGTCCCCCCAGCCGCTCACCGGCTGTGCAGAGCTAGGGCTGGCATAGGGACGCTGGGTTGGCCCCATGCCTGTGGGATGGGAGACAGGGACAGTGCCCATTGGGACTGACTGGCTGCTGGCTGGAGCAAGCTGTGCATCCTGAAGCAGCCCCGGGGCCGCCGTGGGTCCCTCCACCACTGTCTGTCCCCCTGTGTGGGCATCTGCTGCCCCCATTCCCACTGCTGGCAGGGGGTTCAGAGCAATGGTGGATACGGTTGGCTGAGGGCTGGGGGTGCCAGCTGTCTTCGTGGCACTCTGTCCCAACAGGGAGAGACCCTGCCCTGCCGAGGGTGGCCCTGTGTCCGTGGGCACCCCAGGACCCGGTGTCCCTGGTGCAGAGCTGTGAGGCACTGGGCTGCCCTGGCCTTCGGCCTCATGTCCTCGCCAGGTGACAAGCGGCTCCTCTGTCACAGCCAGGGCTGTGCTGCCGTCCCTCCAGGCCCTGGTATCAGCGCCCGTCATAGTGGTTTCCATCTCCAGGGGTGCCCCCGTGCCATGCCCTGCCTGCAGCGGTGGGGACCAGTGCACGGGGCTGTTGCCCCCCCAGCGCTCTCTCCCGGAGGCCCCGGCGCCGCTCGGCTCCCCTGATGCCTCCCAGGCAGGGGATGGGCCCGGCCACTGCTGTCCCCAGGCAGGGCTGTGCAAGGGGTCCCCGCCTAAAGACACCCCTTCCGGCAGCACCCCCTGGCCTCCGGCGGGGACCACGGTGGCCAGGAGCATCCCGCAGGTGACGAGCTGTGCTGCAGTCATGGTGAGTACCCAGCCGGCCCTGCGGGGATGGGGGTCTGGTGAGCCAGGACCCACAACAGCTCGCGCAATTGGCCGTGGGGCTGCTATGCCCGTGGCCACCCATTGCCCAGCGAGAGAGGCAGCGGCTTCACTGTCCCTTCACGGGTAGCCCTGAGCCCTGTTCCCAGCTGTCCCTATCCCCAGTGGCCCCATTTCCAGTCTTTCCCTTCCCAGTGTCCCCGGTGCTCCCCATCGCAGTGTCTCTGGTGCGTGGTCTTTGGTGCGTAGTGCTCCCGACCTCCAGCGTTCACGATGTCCCTTTCCTGGTGCCCCATCCCCAGTGTCCCCTCCCCGGTGCTCCGTCCCCGGTTCCCCTCCCGGTGTCCCCTCCCCTGTTCTCCATCCCCAGTGTCCTCTCCCGGTGTCCCCGCCGGCGGCGGCGGCTCCGCTCTGCCGCGCACGTTCACCTTGGCGAGTCCCGGCCGCATCCCGCAGGGGATGCCCGGCCCGGTGCCCCGCGCCACCGCCGCACACGCGGCTCGTTCCCGCCGGGCCGGGAACGGGGCCGGGACCGCCAGGCTGCTGCTGCGGCGGCCCCGCGGTGCGTGTGCAGGAGCCGGCGGGGGCTGCGCTGCGGGCCGGGCCGCGGCCGGTGCGGGACCAGAGCGGGGACGGTGCGGCTGCCGCATCCGCCGACCCCGCCCGCAGCGCGCCGGGCCGGCCCCGCCGCTCGGTGCCCCGTGCGCGGTGCGCGGGCCGTGGTGCCGCCAGCCCCCTCCCGCCGCCCGCCGCAGCCCCGGCGGCCCCAGTGCCGGTGCCCCGGGGGCCGCAGCCCCCCGCGCTGACCTGCCGGTGCCGGTGCCGGTGCGGGCGGGCCGGGCTCTGCGGCGGAGCGGGAGGCGGCGGCGGCGGCAGCCGGTCACGCGCCGCCCCGGAGCCGCGGGCACCCGCGCGGGAGCCCGCCCGCACCGGGAGGGGCGCGGGGCACGGCCGGGGCCGCCGCGCCGGGACGGGACCCGCGGGACCGGGCGCGGGCGAATCCTGGGGCTCATCCGGGCTGGGCTTTCAGGATCTCCCGTGGCGCGGGTGTCTCTGTGACGTGGCTTCTGGAGGGGCACCGGGGCAGGTCCCCGCGGGACAGGACACGGTGGGGCGGCAGAGGGGAGATGCTGCCCGTGGGACGGGCAGCGTCTCCCGGAGCGGGCAGTGCGGTGGCACTAAGGGGTAGGCGCGGGGCGGGTGGGGCGCTGCCGGACTCTCTAGCAGAGTCCTGGGGAGGGTCTGGGGGTTCCTGCTACCCGTGTGCCCCACGCTTGCCTCCCAGCTGCTTTGTCATGGGCACACAGTGCCCTAGCAGCCACTGGGCTGTGGGACCCTGCCAAGGTGCAGGTAATTAGTTAATCTGCTTAAATGTCCGTCTGGAGAGCTGCCTGCCCTGCCGGGCTTGGGCTGACATTGGCACGGCCACGGCGCCACAAAGTCACACCAGCTCAGGGCTCTGTCCTGCGTGGGACAGTGTGCCTTCCCGGGACATCGTGCCTGGGCTGGGCTCACCATCAGTGCGTGGGGCATTTCTGGTTCCCAGTACACCCCTCTGTGCGGTTGGGAGGCTGCGGCAGCCAGCTGAGAACAGGGGCTGAGAATGTGGGCAGTGCTGTCATGCCGGGCCCCACAAAGCAGGCAGGGCAGGCGGTTAGTCTGGGGATTAGCACCGGGGAGGCCGCCCGGGGGGCAGTGGAGGTGACCCTGCATTGCAGGGGCACTAACAGCACCGGGCACCACCACAGCTCCTGTGCACGGTGTGGCCACAGTGCTGAGTGTGCGGTGGGACCGTGGGGAGGGAGCTGGCTCTGCCTTATATATCACAGTTGTTGGGGCACCTTTAGCGCAAGGCATGGGCACAGCAGCCACCTCCACATCCCCTGTGCCGTCAGAGGTTTCCTCTTCTGCCAAGTGACTCACTGGCAGGTGAAAAGCTGAGGCCCCTGCTCTGTGCTGCCACAGAGGCTGCCTGCTGCCTGCACAGCAGGTGAAGGATGTGACCAGTGCTCTCACAGGTGCCTGGGGCTACCTGGCTGTCACAGGCTTTTGACCACTGTAATCCCCCTTCTCCTGGGCTCTCCCCCCAAAAAAACCAGGACAACCCCCCAGTTTTAGACGGTTTGGAGCCCAGCTTTGCTATTTTCTGACCACTGTGCATGTTTTACGGTCCTACCCCATGCCCTCCGCAGTCCCTCTTGGCTGTGCTGCTGAGGAACCACCCTAACACCTTCCCTGGGTAAAGGGTGGGATGACACCCCCATAAACGCAGGCACTGGCAGCCCCATGGAGGCAAAGTCCAGGAGAAACCATTGTGCAGGGCCCCACATGCCTGGGGCATGGTTGGCTCTGGCAAGGAGGCTGGGAGGCAGGACCCATCCCTTGGGATGTAAGCAGGGTGCCCGGGAAGTCTGTTGCCATGCAGCACACGTGCTTCCATTTTTGTCCAGCAAGGCTGGGAGAGGAGCTGCCATCGTCACAGCCGTACTGGGACAAATACCCCTGTTGGCAGCTACGATCCCGGAGTAAACTCTGAGTGGGAACAGGAGGCTCCATGGCGGCCAGCGTGGCACTCTGGGGCTTCATCCCATTCCCCAGTTGTGAGCTGACATGGGGGAGGCACTGCTGGCTGCTGTTGCTGTTACACCTCCATCTCCAGGGATTTGTTCTGAGCTGTGTGCCAGCGTGTGCGTGTGACAGGGGCTGCAGGGTCTCCAGGGCAGCCCTGCATTGCACCCCACGGCTGGTGCTCCATGTCGGGGTGCAGAGGAGCCAGTCCCTGCTCTGCCTTTGCACAGGGGCTTGCAGCAGACACCTCCAGAGGTCCCTCCAAGCTCAGCCATGCGCTGCTGAGCTCCTTGTGTCCAGGCCGGGGGCTGCACAGAGACCTGCACCCGTCCCCGCCGGCCCCAAAAGGCATGGGGTGGTAAGTCCCCCTAGCAGGTTTTGCCCAGCGAAGGCCATAGAGGGGATGATGAGGAAATGGGTACATGAGGGCGGTGTGAAATGAACAGCCACTGCTGCCGGCAGCCACCCAGCTCCTTCCCTGACCAGCTCCCCACACCTCCCCCCACCTCCTCCTTGCTAATTAATATCACTGGACCAGTGTTAGACTGGAGGGGTGTAGTTTTCCTACTTTAAACAAAGAAAGGAACTGAAGAAAGGAATCCTCCCAGTTCCACGATCCAGGGGAGTTAAACAACTAAAGAGCAGCCGCCTGCTCTCCCGCTGGAACAGGACTGTGACTCTCCCGGAAAACCAACACAATGGACTTTGGTGACAACGCAAAGAGTTTATTGAAGCCAGGATGACAAAGCTGGATCATTTGGATTTGTGGCAACACCATTAATTTGCTTTTGTGAAATCAAAATGCTTTTTTACTGGTAAGATTTCAAACCGAAAATCAAAGCTGACACAAATGGCTGAAACAGTGGGAGCTACTGATAGTCACAGTTGGGTAACCTGGAGAGAGTTCTCTGTGGGAACAGGGGCTTTCCAACATGTCATCTGCTGCATCTGAACATTGTATCTTTTGGCCTCTGTTTGAGAACCGCTGCCCTTGAAAAGGATATGTTGGAGAATTCCTTAATCAGCCAAGAGATACAAGATACCAAAAAAGTAGAAACACAATAATTTCCTGAAATTTCTGAAACCAAGGAATTTCAGTCTAAAAGGAGAAGAAATTCAATAGTGGATGAACCTGAGACACTGGGATTTAGTTTTCCTCAGCTAAACTGGTCCCTGTCCAAACACAAACAACTCCTGGGACAAATCCAAACCTTATCGAAATCAACCAGAACAACACTACTACTGCCTCCAGAACTAAAAACCTGAACTTTTACAAAACAAACCAACATAGAGACTATGGATGAGAAACAGAGTGAAGCCTCTGACCACAGAGATAGCATTACATGGAAAAGTTGAAAAGTTTCCAGTAAATCTCAGTGCCAAATCTGACTGAGCTGCTCGTCTGTGATCTGCCAACTCTCTCCTCCCTGGGAATGTCTCAGCAGACTCTGCAGGTGTGTAAATACGGTGGTAACTGGATCCCTTGGCATCTATTGGGAGCAGGGAGATACAGTAACACAGCTTTCCAAGAGAGGGGAGAACTGTCCTCACATAGTCTCTTAAAATATCTCAAACTGGGCAATAACATTTTAGAGCCTCTGGCTAAGGAGGTAACACCCCTAGAAGAATAAACTGCAACTGAGATGGCCAAGCCTTCACTGAGGGCTCCAAACATGACCCCTTCAATCAGAAGAATCACTGTCAAACAGTAAAGAGCAACAGGTTGTGTTCCTCTGAGCCAGCAGATTAGCAGGATGTGGTTTCTTGGAGCTTGGGGGGCTTCGGAGGTTGAAGCAGCTCATCTGCTCTACATCTGTTGTGCTACACAGGGATAATATATTCCCCTCAGGAGAGGAATCCAAGATATACCTTTTTACAGTGGAAACATTCACTCTTCTTTTAATTTCCAAACTTTTCTTTTTTCTGCTTGCAAGTTGTTGCAGGCTTTTATCAGAGCATGGCACTGATGGAAAATTTTTTGTAAGCCCTGGCTGAGCACTGCTGAGGATCTGCTGATGGCGAGCTGCAGAAATCGGGTCAGAGCTTTCTGAATTGAGATCAACCAAGTATCTGGGAAGGCATTTTTTTCTGGAGCTTTCCAACTCAATAATCCCATTTGCCTTTCTCTGCTTCAGCCCACTGTCAGCACATCGAGAGAGCTCACCTTTCCTCTTAGCAGGGCACACTTTCTTCCTCCCTACTGCTTTATTCCAGGGGATCCTTCCTGGACTCTGTTTTGTTTTGTTGCCTACAGCTGCCTTGTGCACCTTGTGGTCTGTGGACCCGTTGCTGTCTCTTTGCCCAGGTGGAGCTTTCCATACAGAGTGGTGGCAACCTTGAGGCTGCTGCTGCTGTGACTGTGTCAGGGCTTCCAACCCTCCAGTGCCTCTCCTGAATGCTTTCCTCAGTGGGGTTGGTAGAGGTGCTTCCAGTGGTACAGGACAGTGCTTCTTCTGACTGCCCCCGAAAAGATGACTGTCACCCCAGCACGTGCAAGGACAGCTCTGTGTCTCCAACCCATATTTCACCTCCTGCAAAGAGATGTTTGCTCTATCACAGGCCTCTGAAGCAATGGCTTTGCCTCCTGAGGTTGTACCCTTAGAGATGCCATCCCCAGTGAGCTGGTTCCTCCCAGGGGAGCGTCTGTGTTGCTCCCCCACTGCCACACAGTGGAAATGAGACTGGCCTGAGCAGCTGCAAACCCTGCAGCCTCGGCAGCATGGCTGGTACAGGTGCTCCTCATCCAGGACACGGAGCTGGCACGGGCCAGGGGAGGTCTGGGAAGAGTTATCTCTCATGTGAGGGGGCAGTCTGGCACTAGGCACAAGTGTGTGCTGCTCAGCTAAGGCTTTAGGGAGCTTCAGGAAGTCTAGTTCTTTACACAGCTTCAGGTGGTGGTCATTCAGCTGGGCTGGCAGTGACTCCAGACCCTCTTTCAGCAGCTGGACACTGGATTTCACCTCTGAAATCTCCACATCTTTCTGGAAGGAAGCAGGAAGCAGAGCAGAAGCAGTAAGCAACATATGAAAAGGCACACTAATAAGAAAGTTTCAGGTACCGTGTGACTGTTTGGTATTGATCCAAAGATCAGCAATCTGTATCTTCCTGTGTATCCTCAAACTGTCCCACCAAAGTGAGAGGTTTGGGACAGAAGCATACCCCTAACCGTGTGCCCCCTCTCCCAGGAGCACTGCCTTCTCACACACTGGTGTGACACATCCTTGCCAAAAGCAGTTCCTGCAGCAGGGCCTTTGGAGAAAGCAGACCTGTCCAGGAGGTCTCTGACAGCTAATTCTTTTGTCTCTGACACTCACTTGTTTTGTTTTCACCTCTTTTTTTCCTCTCCTTGGGAAACACCCCACTAAAGGGACAAGGTGCCGCACTTTTGCAAGGTGCTCTCCCCTCACAGGCATGCACTGCACCACCTCCTCCAGCGAAGCCATGTGCCAGGTGAGGAAACAGTGAGTGCTCTGTCATGGCCTGCCACGACAGGGCACTGTTGGGCTCTTGTCTTACTGACCAGAGCATCATCAGAGCTTACAGCACTCTTAGCCAGCGCTTGGGTAAGCATCCATCAGTATCTGGCCTAGAATTAGCATTTTAATACGTCTTTACCCCTTCATCATAACTGGAGCAGTCTGCTTTATAATCCACCATCTGAAGGCAATTTAATATTCAGTTAGTATTTTGAAGAAGCGGGAGAGATTCAGAACGAGGATTCAGAATAAAAGATTAATTTTGCACTTACGGCTGCAAGTCTCCTCTCCATCTCCAGCAGTGCCTGCTCCATTTGGCTTTTATCTGTCAGAGCTTTCAATACAGAGGCACAGTGACTTTGAAAAGCATCTTCCACTAAACAGGGAAATCAATAAAAAACACATTTGGTCTTTCATTTGTAAATGTGAATAAAGTACTATCAATACTATTGCTGCTTCCTCCTCAGCTTGGCATGAATCACCACAGAGATTCTCCCGCTGCGATCTCCCCGAGCCTCAGGCCATGAACGATGGGGTGGATGTTTAATGCAAGGCACTTGAAATTTATAAGATGCTGCACATAGGCCAAACCTCATTTACTGTGCTCTGTTAATGTGGCAGCTGGAGAGGAAAGGCCATGCAAAGCCACAGAACTTGGTAGGTGCAGTGCAGGGAAGGCTGAGGCTTAGTTGTCTGCCGGCTGCACAGCAGGCACAGCCAAGGCAGGGGGACCCCAGCACAGCTGACCCATCCCAGCATAACCAGCCCTTTCCTGCAACCAGCTAGTGGTAAGTGGGAGCTTGAACAGAATGGAGATGTGAGAGGTTAATGGCTAAGAAGTGCAGCCAGAGAAACTGTTTCAGAAATGCACAAGAGGCTGACAACTGAAGGAAAAATACTGGAAGTGATAGTGGGAAATGATGAAGCAAAGAATTGTGATTTCCATTTGCTGGGCAGGGGAAGAGACAGGGTCAGAAACCAGCTGAACCAGGCAGCTGCACTCAGCACTTGCTAATGGAGGCCCCAGCGGTGTCCTGTGGGGGCACAGGCTCCCTGGAAGGGTACTAAATTGGAACAAGATGCTCTTGGCTTCAGTCAGTTTTGTTGAAAAACTGATAAAACCTCAGGGATTCGGGTTATATGATTGGATAAGAATATAACTCCCTCTATGCAGCTGCAATTACTCTTATAGGAACCACTGCTGTGCCTAATATGTGACAGGATGGAAACACAATTTGCAGTGTGTGTGGAAATGAAAAATCCTTAGGAATCTTACGAAAGTCTCCTTTAAAATTGTAAATTAGGACAAAGAGCTGAGAAAGAGCAGAGAGAAAGAGTTAAACATGTCTGGTCTTTCCTGTGAAGGGTGGTGCAGAAAGGTGTGTACAGGTGGTGTGGCTGGGGTGGAATGTTGGCTGGTTGGGAAAAAACATGATCCAAAGCATTCTTGCTAAAGCAAAGCACTGCCAAACCAGTGGGCCAGGATAACTGAAACCCTGGATTCCTGGACTGCCACTGCACACCCGAGAGAAATCAGAACAATGCCTACATTTCAACAAGTGGCTACAAGAGCTCTGCAATTAATGAATCCCCTTTTGCTACAGATCCAAGGTGTTTGATTGACTTTGATGCTGGTGGAGCTGAGAGCCTGGATGAAGCTATTCCTGCTCGCCCAGTGTTTATCTCAGCTCGTCAGTGCAGCTCCTCTTGCCCTGCAGAGCTGTGCTCACAGTCTGCAGAGCCACAGGGCACTTGGGATCCCTTCTCCTCATGCTCAGCTGTTTTCATTAAGCTTGCAGGGACTTAATTATCTCAGTGAGCTGTGCCCTTATGTCAAACTGTAGATGGAATTGGTTAAAGAGTTAAAAACTATTAGGGAGAGGCAGGCAGAAAATGATTGTAGGCTTTGCTTCTGTGAAAAAACAGGGACTTTTTTAAAGAAGGTACATTTGGGAAGGAAGAAAGGAAAGAAATCTGAGCAATTACAGGCTTAATATTTTGCTCTCATGGTGCAAGGTTTTAGAACAGACTTTAAGGGGAAAAGTACTCAAAGACATGGAAGGAAATGGAATAAAATGGAACAAGATTGGAAAAAGTGGATTGTATCAGGCTAATGTAATGCATTAGGACAATGCACAAGTCACAAGGTAGGTGACTTCTTAGACAAAGGCAACACAGTGGCCTTTCTGTAGATTCAGACAAAGCTTTTCAATGGAAGTTGTCATGTATTATGAAAAAAAGAGAGAGAAAAAAAAGAAGAAGAAACTTTAAAAATAACCCTAATTTAAAGGGAAAACATTTAAAGGTTTAGAGCAGGGTAGCATGAGGGGACAAGGTAGCTCTGGAAGGTAGTTCTGGAGGCCTGCTCATGAGCCAAACATATTTAAAGTCTGCTGTGGTCACCAGGGTGCAAAAGCCAGAGGGCATTCAGGTAATTAGCGGTGACACAAAGATGCAAATGCCAGCACGGGGGGCCACAGGTGAGACAGGGCAATGTGGCCTGTGGCGGTGCAAAGGCTCTGGCTGACACAACTGCTGTGCACCCCAGGATGTCTGGAAGCCTGCACGCGGTCCCAGCTGTGCAAGGAAAAAAAGAGATTGAACTGAGACATGGGCAGAGAAAAGCTACAGGATAATTAAGTGCTTAAATGGTAATCTCCTCTTACGAAAGGAGATTGAAAGTGTTGGTCTCATTCAGCCACGCAAAGCAGAGGTGTGTGGTGGCGTGAGGCTGGAGATGCTGGGATGGGGAGAGCTGCCTCCCAGCACCAGGGAACCCCCATGCCAAGCTGTATTTTTTAACTTTGCCTGCCTCCAAATGAGTGTTGCCCAGGCACAGTGCTGTCATTTGGGAGAAGGAATGAGGCAGTTGCCTCATCCGTGTGTCTTCCTCATACACATTGAATTAAACCACCTCCCAGACCTGGTTTTGGGGAGGATTTCTCCATTGTTTCAGGGTGCCCATCACCACAAGGCTTTGCCTTGTTCTCCATAGAAGCGTGGCTGATTTCTGAGGATTATCTGCACATATTTCAACTAATATGCTTTCTGCTGTTGCAGGCAATTTGGTTGTAATTTTTAAGCTTTTAGTCTTTTGCTCTAACAGATTTAGACTGTTTTATAAATCTGGAAATCTATGACTTGCAGAATGGTTTTGTAACAGGGGAGTGAATATTTGAGTGGGCTTTTTAAACTTTGCACCTCCCTGGTTAGACCTAAGGGCTATCTCCAATACAAGAACAGGTTTTTGGGGAGCCTGTCAGCCTACAAAGAGGGGGAAAGCAGCAATGACTAAAGGAGGAAACTCCTTTCATATCTCTTTATCATCTCTACATAGTGAAGACACAGGAAGGGCTGCATCCACAAGCCTACCTCGGCTTGCTGCTCTTCTCCATATGCTTAATTTTAGCTCAGAATTATTTTTAAAACTTTCTAGTTTCCCTAGTCTGTTCTTCTTCAACATAGTATCCTCAGTCTAAAAATAGTCCTGCATCCACTGGGCTTGTGATCTGCACATACGTTTGACTCAGCACAGCATGCTGCAGGCAAGCAACCAGCAGCCAGCGTTTCATTTGTACGTGTGGGAGTATTCTGCAGAAAAGGAACCTCAGTACAGAGGAGGGGCACTCTCCTCTCCTCCCTTCTTCCATACCAGAGAAGTGTTCAGACTTGTCAAACAGTAACAAACAAAATAAAAAGGGATGTTAATAGAGATTTAAAAAAATGGGCTTTGAGATGGCCAAACTAGATCAGATCAAGAACCCTGTTAGACAAATGTCTTGTCTTTGAGAATGATCAAAAATGGCTGTTTCAGAGGAGGTTTTCTTCAAATAAACTCTGCAGCAGATAGTTATTGAATAACTTGATCATAGAGAGAAAATCTTTACTCAGTTAATGGGTGACTTATGCACAGAATTGTGCCTCTCTTGGGGTAATTTAAACAAAGCATTTTTTTACTAACTGGAACATCGCTGTGTTTTGATTTGTTGTATCATTTTCTTCAGATACTACCGGTTTACAGTAATAACATTTGGAATGTGAAATCTGGCATGAGATAAAAGGCTGTAGGGGTTGGGCTGCCACCCTGTGCTGCAGAGGGTTCCCTGCAAATCAGCCTGCACCCAGGTGCAGCTGCACTCCCAGCAGCTGAAAACTACAGCCTGAGCAGCAGAGGGAGGGAGCGCCAGCCTCCCAGCCTAGGAATATTAAACAGCAACTGCTTCTGATGCCTATCTATCATCCTCTGTGCAGCTCATCCTGAGACTGGCACTGACAGCACGGAGGATTTAAATAACACTTTGGGGAGAGGTTGGTTCCCCACGCCCAGGTTCAGTAGGGGAAATAGGAGGTCTGTAAACCTGGTGAGGCACCAGGGGGGAAGGCAGCTCTGCAGCTCACCAGGGCAGTGTGTGTTCTCCCTGGGCAGCAACGGAGCTGTGCTGGTGGGTGGGACAGTTGGGCTGTCACAGCTGTATCCTGCTTGGATATACTCCAAGCAGTCAGCTGGAAGGTTTGTGCTGGCTTAGCCTGAGTCCCCTTCCACAACACATCAGACAGCACCTTCATGGGTGCACTGTGGGATGAGCTGCCTCTGACCTCACCCTGTGCTACGGCACACAGTGCTCCAACCCCTGAGCAATGAGGGGTTTCAGTTTCCATCAGAACAACCACACTTCCTCTCGTCGTCCATGCTGAGGTGTTTTGGACTCTGGCTAAGTCCCTCACATCAACAACTTTGTCAGTGAGTGCACGTCTAGTTAGCAGCTACATGTGAAAAAACCATTTCTTTATTCAGTTTCAAACCTTTTGAGTTTTCAATTCATACGGAATGCAAGGTACTCTGGACTGGATGTCCTAGTCTGGACCGTACTGTTCACAGTAAACAAGCTCAAATCCCATCGCTCTAAACACAGTGATTCGCCCTAGAAATATCGCCAGCAACTGCTGGGCCTGGGGAGTCTGGAAACAAGTCATGTTTGAAAACTGCCTACCAGGCACCGGATCCTGTCAGAGAATTGCATCAGCTCGTGCCTCTGTAAGTGACACATTGCACATTATTCTGTCACCCTTGCTGGCAGTGCATCAGAGGACTGCCTGTGGCGTGCTGGCTGGGATGGTGCTGCTCATGTGCCATGGAGCCAAGGTGGTGCAGAGGATATGGCTATTATGAGCTCTCACAGCTGGAACTACCAGATACTAGGACAGCAAAGCAGTTCCAAGAGGGCTGAGCGGTGAAAATTTGGGTTTGTATAAAAGATAAAAAGCTTTGATAAAACCGTGGGTATATAAATTAAAATGAGAAAAATATGAAAAGAAACAAGTTACAGGAGCTGAAACCAGAAGGAAAGAGCAAATGATGAGTGGGCAAGTCAATGAAAGAAACTGTATTTAAGGTGGAAGAACTGAGGCCACAGGGTCTACCTACCTCTTTACATCTCTGTGCACTGCACACCAAGATGTGAGCAAGGCTCAGAGCAGCTGTGCCTCTGTGGAAGCTGCTCAGGCAAATCTTGTCTCATCTCCGGTGCCAGACACAGCTCTCTCCACTGTGTGCAAGCACATATGGACAAAAGAGAACATTTTTTAAAATCTGCCTGCACAGAGCATGCCAGCCCAACAGCATTTGGAAATGCTTTGGAAATACATTTTGAAAAATATTTTCTGTTTTGTCCTCGCCTGGTGGCCATACAGACTGTGCCAAATGTGCTTGCCACCCACTGGTATAACTGCAGCCTGTGATACTCCTTATAAGCTTTTAATGAAGACAGACTTGATTTAAAGTTCCACCTTTCTTTGCTTTTCAAAGCAGTTGGAATGTCCCAGTGCAATAGTTCTCTTCATCTTTTGCATTCCTCTCCTACACTGAAATCCTCCACTGCCAGTGATTCACCATGTCTCTGCCATGTCACCAGCATCCCAAGGTACTGTATCATCAGCCACTGACATTAAGAGCTTTATCAGCTCTGAATTTAGCTCTTTATCACCTGAGTTCTGGAATTTTATACCAGTTTTTCAAGGGAATTGCTTCAGTTGGGATCTTTTCAAGGCACTAGTGCAAGTATTTATTTAGTGGGAACTTAATTATCCATCACTGTGATACCAGTCAAATGACAGTGTTTATCAGCAATTAAGCAGTGACAGATGAACCTCCCAGAAATAAAAAAAGAACAACATTGTGCAGTGTGTGATGGTTTTCATTATATATTCAACATTCTGCAGCATGATGCATTACAGAAAGTGCCAATTTTTCTTTTCAATTGCCTTGAAAATCTAGCAGCAGGCACCTCTGGGAGGTTTCTCATTTCATTCAAGGCACATTTATTTAAAATGGATATGGAGAAGAAACAGGACAGCTGAGTAAATGATATGGAATGAAGAGGGGCAGTTGTGAACAATAGATTTGATTTTCAGTGCCATGACAACAATTTCTGTGCATGAGGTATGTGAAATTAGGCAAAGGCCTGCTTCAGAGTGGACAAGCTGAGGCAGTGAAGTAATTAGGGGGTGAGAAAATGTATAATAGGGAACTTGTTGTGCTGGCCAAAGCAGACAGATTCTTGCTTACTTTAGGGTCCCACCAAGAGCACCTGCCAAGCACAGCAAAGACTTCACGTTTCTTACACGTATTGGAACTGGCCTCTAGTTCTTGTACAGAGCAAGGCAAGCTCTGAGCAGAGTCCTGACAGGGTGTTGATAAAGCATCACAACAGCACTAAAAGTTAATGTACTCTCAAAGGCTCAGATCTAACCCAAATTAGAAACAATTTCTTGAAGCATTTTCCCTCAGTAAAGAGAGCTTCCGTGATTAGCCACCTCAGAGTTGTTCCAAAGTATTTTACATTATTGGCTATTTTGGAGGTCACCTTTTTATCATGGCAATAGTGTACTTCACTGTGTGCTTCTCATTCAAGATATAAGCAGTACTAGTTTCGCTCATATCCAAAATACAATCACTTCAAGCCCAGAAGAGCGATGGAAGGCTTCAAACTAACACACAAAAATCTGAGAAAGCCCTAAAAACTGAAACCGGATACTCAGGATATAAATATCTAAGTTATTTTTACTATGTGTTCCATTAGTACTCCAGATAGTCTAAAAATGATCATACTCCAGGGCAGAACACCAAAACAGGGAGGTGTGTTCATTTGTGCGTGTACAGTGTCTAAGAGAGCAGAGAAAGGGAGAAAATAAGAGAGCAAGAATGGAAAAACAGACAAGTTCATACCATGGATAAGTCTTATTTTCTCTCCTCCCTTAGGGAGAGCAGCTGTGAGTGGCATGACTTGCCCAGTTCACCCCAGCCTGGAGACAACATGCTGACATTCAGCAGTTTGACTGTGCCCTCTGCTGTTAACAGAAACACAGGAAGGACTTACTTTTCTTGGAAAGGGTTTCTAGGTGAACCAAAATGGATTTGTATCTGGAATCAGACATTTCTTCAAATTTGTCCAAGCACGCTTGCAGCTGCAAAAAAAAAAAAAAAAAAAAAAAAAAAGTAAATGAAAAAATGAATGCATTGTTTTTTCTTTGTTTACAAAATCACAGCACCAGATGCCAGAGGACAATGATGGTAAGTCATGGAATGGAACAGTCTGAAAATGATTGTTTATCTATCTTGAAACAATTTGTCCAGCTGTTGGTTGCAACCCCGAAAGAGATCTGGAATGGCTTAAAAGGCTCATTAAATCTTAACAGATTTTTAAAAAAAAGAGATACTGGTCTGTAAAATATTAAAAGCATTAATAATAACTAATCAAATTAATCATAAAAGTATTGGGGAAGAGACCTCCACCTTCAGACCACATTGATTAATCCTGAGAGCAGACTACTTTCTTCAGGCAGAAGAAAAAAAGAGCTGATATTTGCAGACAGTCACTACAGTTTGGTTTTGATCCTGAGACCCAGAGGAATTCCGCTGCTGGCTCTGAGGCAAGACCCTAAAAACCTTAATCCTAAGGACAGGTTACAAAGACAAGGGTATACGCAAAAAAAAAAAAATTCCAATTGTTGCTTTAAAGTATTTGAGTGCTCAAGATATGTATTTTAAATATCAGCACAGTAAAGGAGAGAAAGTGAACGTTCTGTAGCCTTTCTAACTCTTCATTATTTTACATTTTAAATTTGAAGTAACTTACCCCTTGAAGCTTGTCTTTGGTACTGGAAATAAAGGCGCTTAGGACCTCACTAAAATGAAAAAAAAATCAACAAGTATAAAACAGACATGTAAGTTACTGGAGTGTACAGAAATTGAAAAGATCACAGTAAAAACGAGACGTGGAACACTGCAAGGCATGGTGCAGTGTGTAATGAAAGCATGGGAACATGGTTACTTCAAGGGGCATAACCCTTTGAAGTCACTTTAATTGTTTTAGGAAAGCTTGGACTCTGCTATGCAGTGTAAGAAAAAAATGCGTAGACACACATGCACATATATGTCATAGACATGAAATTATGGGGTTTTTACTCTCTGATATTTTGCCTTAGCATTCATGCCTCTCTCAGAAGTTTTAGTTGGCATTTACTCAACTGTCCATTAGCTCCTGGGGTGTTACCACTGTGTTATCTGCTCCGGAAGGACCCAGCCTGGGCGGAGGTGACGTGCCAGTTACTGTGATACATGGTATTATATTTGGACTAAAATAACTGTGGGAAAAACATAGGAAAAGCGCCAGCCTCAACAAAGCCCAAGTCAGGAAGAACAAATACTGCAAATCCTTTTCTCCTGAGAATAAGCCACGGTTTCTGTTATCCGTCCTTTTAAGCTGAGCGAGCCTGTCAGGAACCAGGTTTTATTCATGATTAACCAGCCATACTCGAATGCACGAGTGGTTGCTAAGCAAAGTGATAAACTTTTTCCTCTCTGAAGGTTCAGGTCAGTTTAAGTCAATCATTTAATGATGCAAATTACAATAACCAGAAAGATGGCAGCCAGGTAGAGTCTAGTTATGAGAATTAGACAGTGCTTCTGAAACCTCTCTAGCTTTATGGAGAGGAAGATACTAATTTTCTTAGTCAAACTTGAGGGGGATACAAATTGATAAATTATACGCTTATCTTTGCAAAGATAATATAGCTATTTCTACAAACAGGCTTCTAATCTGGGAGTGAGCCTGGAGTGTAGGAAGGAGCATAATCCATTTAATGCAAAAATAAAGGGTAATTATGAATGCTGCCTAAACATTTAAAACTATTTTTTCATTTCATATAATTCACTTACAAAAATCCTCCTCTTCTCTAATAGGCACTAGAGAATCAATTTTGCCTTATCAGAAGCATAGTGCCCATTGCAAAGGCGAGAGAGATACATAGCCTGATTTGATCAAAGGCTTTTAATAAAAACACGTCTCACTGTGGATGGTACATTACAAAATGTAACTAATGTGCTAGGAATTATTTATAGGTGCACTGGGGAGTTACCATCTTTAATTTTTGAGCTTCAAATGGTTAGCTTGTTCCTTAAAGTCCTCTAGGACCTACACGTACATTTAATTCTTGACATTTAACAAAGAGCAGATGCAAATTACATTAGTAAATTACACTTGTCTGTTGCCAAAAAAACCAAACACGTAAAAACCTTGTATACAAATACAGTTCTAGAGATATGTGCAGGTTTATAAAGGTGCAATCTGCACACAGATATGTTTGGCAATCCCCTCATTTGGCCCAAATGTGAAGGTTGTCCTTGGAGCCCCTTTGGTCAGTCCTCATACAGTCTATGAAATTTTGAGAAATAAGGACTTTCACAGAGAATCAGTAAAGAAAAAAACCCTACTGATTAAACAAAGAAGGACAAAGGTAAATTCAGGTTAGAGTTTTGTTATTCCTTGGGGCTTACAGCTGACTGTGTTACATAAATCACATTGCAAATAAACCCTATTCTCTTATCCTGTGACTCTTTTCAATCAGAAATTATTTAAAACCTGGAAAGGTGCTTTTCTTGGTGAAATATGCAGGTTTGTCATGTATGATTTGTAGGAGGGGAATAAGGAGCTGCAGGGAGTGATAACCATCAGCATGGAAAGAATTTCCAAGGGATGTTTACATACCGGTCATATTTTTCCTTTATTTTGTTCTTATTCGCTTCAAAATTTTCCAAGATACTTTTCTTTCTTCCTGCGCTAAAATTAGGTAAACCTTTTTCTCTTGTTTCTTCATCAAATAACTGTGGTTTTGTCTGGTATTTGGTAAAAATACTGGGCTCACTCTGTTGCACAAACAAAAGAAAAGTGTTGAAGTATAAAAATAATCAGAACACTAACTAGAAAAAACCATTTGTGTACACAATGCTTTGCAGACAGAGATCACAGTGATTGGACGTGACAGATTAGATTGGACAAGGAGATTAAGAATTTCATGAGATTATGGTTCATTTAGTGTGCCTGGTTAGATTGATTCCCTGTGGAACTGAGACTCAGCCCAAACTCCTCCAGACTCAGGCTTTTTTTCTCATCTTGAGGATTTCCAATTTGTTACAATCATAAGATGAGCAGATTTTTTCCCTCTTGGTTCAACGCAGATACTTTAAATGAATTCCAGTATTCCTGGAATTGTGGAAAAGTTGAAGTTGTCAGTAGAAGCTCCCTATACAGGAATTTAAAGAAAATTCTATTGAATTTCCCAGTGGATGACATAATTTTGCTGCCAACTACCAACATTGACAGACTGTAGATGAATTTTTCACATGCTTCAGTACACATTTCAGAACTACAAATTTAATATTACTATGAAAGCTTCATTCTACAAAATTTCCAGACACCGTGTGACCAAAACGGAAATGCGTTTTCCTTAAAACATAAGAAAATGCAAATTCCATTCAGTTTTTCCATTTGTGAAGAGTGAATTTCTTTTTTTGTGTCTGATGAAAAGCTGCTCCTCAGCAAAATGGAGAGGACAGCAGATAGCATCTGGAACTGAAGGACAGCCTGAGGCCACCAAGCTGGCAGCACTGCTCTTTCCTAATCTTTGCTTCAAGTGTATCAATTTGGATCTGGCGCTCTCTGTTAGCAATGCAGGACCTATTTTAGTGAGCCTAGTAACATCAGAAACCGTGTGTTCAGGGAGAAAGATTTTAAGCATAGAAGCTCTCCATCTCAATCCAAAATCATTCAAGCATCTGCCACAACAACAATACAGCAAGGTCATTGCCAGTCCAGGGAAGTAAATACTGAGCATCTCTGTCATTCTTGCAGAAAGCTAAGGAAGCAAAACACAGTATTTTTCAACAAGCAATATATGTAGTAGTCTAGCTTGGCTAGGTAGGTGGTCTAAAGACTTTAGCTCAAGAATAATTTCATATTATTAAAAATTTGATTGAAGAAAATAATACCTATCTCAATAGCAATTTATAGTAATCTGTTATAAATATCAGGTTTTCATCCAACCAGGCTGCTACTTTGTCTTGTCATGGTAAATATGTATACGTAGCAAGAAGATAACCTGACTCCAGCAGTTACTGACATTTGCAAATGTTACCACCTGATTTCAGGATTTTCCATTAACTTTGAATGGTGGCTGTGTGCCTGCACAGGGCTGAAGGAGAGCGTGACTCACGTCCTGGGAGTTTTGCTGTCCCGGCTGCGAGCCCAGCTCCAGCAGCGCCGTTGCCGACTGTGCATTCTCCGGGCAGAACTGGGATCCGAAGAGCAGCTGAGAGTCACTCAAACTTGAGTAGTCACTGGCAGTGCCGCTCCTCATGGAACACTTGCTAGGCCTGAAATGGGGTGGAGAGGGACGTGAATGTGCCTGAAGCAATTAAAAGGCCAAACGGAATTCCCTACATGGCCTGCTGGAACTGCTCAATCATGGCCCACCCCAACATGTTAATTTTCCCTCTCCGCTTGGAAGGTACCGTTCGTATAATGGCATAAGATTTAATTCTAAGATAAACCAACTGGCTTATCTTAAACTGCCACATCCACACAGACACAGTGTTGTAGCTCCACATGCACCCTGCAGGGGTGAAGGTATTTCTCCAGCATGTCCTGCAGACAGAAAAATAAAAAAAACCCCAGGACTGGGCAGCTCATCCTACCTGCTGATCAGTTAAAGAGGCACCTTGGAGTTTGCTCCTAGCAGGTGCTGAGTCTCTCCCTTTCAACAACTCTAGATAGTAAATTCTGTTGTAACTTAGGTGCTGCTTGAATTGTTTGGAAGGCTATTCCAACAGAATAAAACTTTATGACTAATCGTTGGCATTTCTTGGGTATTTATTCTTCAGGTGCCTTAAGTCTGACACACTCGAACAACAAATAAATAGGTAGCATATGGCTGGACAAACTGAGTTGTTAGAAATATTTCAAACATAGTAACATGCTACTCAAAAGTGCTCCTCTTTTCCCTGGGCACTGCCCAAATAAATCTTTCCCAGCTAGCCTTGGCTTTGAGTTGTGTTGCTCTGATTCTACGCCTCTTCAGAGACACGTCTTCTCCCGCTTTATGGACTAGGCTCATGGCACAGGACCAGCTTCCCTCAGACAAGGGCTTCCCTGCACAGCTGCACTGCTTATTGTGTTGGAGGCTGGCTTCAATCTTTTGTTAGCAAAAATACACACTTTTTTCATTTTTTGCATAGAATCATAGAACGATTTGGGTTAGAAGGCACTTTAAAGATCTCCTCGTTCCACCCTCCCCTACCATGGGCAGGGACACCTTCCACTAGGCCAGGTTGCTCAAAGTCCCATCCCACCTGGCCTTGAACACTTCCAGGGATGGGACACCCACAGCTTCTCTGGGCAACCAGTACCAGGGCCTCCCCACCCTCACAGGAAAGAATTTATTCGTAACATCTAATCTAAATCTACCCTCTTTCAGTCTAAATTGTCACTATTCCATTGCTCCATATCCACAAGGTCTGGCAGAGTGCTTAGGCTAGGTCCAAACACAAGAAAATCTTGGCCAGGTTTATATTCTCAGTTCTTGTTTTTTTTGAGCTACCAAGAAGGAGAGATTTTTTTGCTGCCTTTGGAGTTGGGAATTAGAGACCAAAATTAATGAAAAAGTCTCTTACGTTTTTTTCTTCCATATCGAATGTTACAAGTAAAGGAGTTGGAAGGGGAGAGTAATTCATGTGTATAACAAGAGATGATCACCCCAACATTTATTGGCAGTGACGCGTTTGGTTAATCCCCAGTTTTGGAAGGAGCCCAAACATCATAGACACAACAGGAAAGGGATTTAGCAGCAGTATTTGAACTTCTCAGTCTCCCTCTTCATTATATAGTGGTGTCACCGACAATATCACATTAATACTTTTGGCTTTAAGCTAACGGAGTACACTGAGCCGCAGGCAAAAATAGATGAGGTGTGGGTTTCTGGGTTCTCAAAAAGCCTGATAAATTCCTCTGAATTCAAAACTTCTCCTTTGATCTCTCTCTGGACACCTAATCCGAATATAATTTTTACTAGCACAGCTTCTTGTTTCCATCTCAGCTAAGCTCTGTAAAAAAAAATACATTTTCCTAATCCACAGGCAGGATGTTGGGGAGAGATGTGAGCACATGGGCTGCCGTGATCCCACACAGGCAAAGCCGCTGCCTGCAATGTGAGTAGCACATCTCTGTACCAGTTTTCTAAGTCCTCCTGTCTTCTAGCCAAAAAAATTCCCTCTTAGTTCAAGGCAGGGTTTTTATAATCCTTAAGTGCTTTACTGTCTTGATGACCCCCCTTGGAAAGTGTTTGGTTCAACTGGTGAATATGACACCCCACAATGTGCTTGTTTTCTCAGATCCTTCACATCACTTAATACCTGAAGCACAAGATTGTTTTAACAAAGGGTTTTATGACCGGTATTTTGAGGAGTATTGAGCTGAGACGACTTTATGAGCCAAGTGACTTCCCAGGCTTACTCTCCACTACAACCAAAGGCTGCTGTTGGCTGCTCTGAAGCCCAGTTTTTTTGTCCACTACCTCAGCAGTTGGTTTAGGAATGATGGCACTTTTGCAAATTAGAGGGGGAGACAAAACAGATGTCTCTTTTGAACACACTCATTCCCCTGATCAGTGGATTTCTTTCTCCCTTGCTTAACACTGCTGGCAATTAATTTAGTAACAAGACCATCTGGGCAAGCCAGGAGCCTGGCCATGGTTGGCCCAGACCTGTCCCTGATGGAGAGATCAGACAACCATGGTCAGATCTGGGATCAGATCCACAATCAGGCAACTGCAGCTCTTCTTACCACATGACCATTCCCTTCAGGATGCCTGCCCAATACTAAATATAAACCCTTCCCTATAAAGAGCAAGGAAACATCCTAGATATGCAATCCCAGTTAGCAGTCCCTTCAGTGATGCAATAGTTCACCACAGGAGAGCTTTTAGCTTTCTGCTAACATGAGCCATTCCCCAAATTGTCCTGTGTTTGTGCCCACAACACTCCTATGGTATTGGCACTAGCATGTGTGTCCAAAGTAAAACCAGCTTTAAATATGTAAGACAAGTTCTTGTCAGCTCAAAAAAATGGTAAATCATCCTCTGCTGACTGATGGAATGATTGCTTTTTCCCACCTAGCTTTATGTCAGGTGTTGCAATATTGGCAGCTCCAACCCTTTCTCGTGATGCAAGCGTGATCAAAAAATCTGCAGCCTTCTGCACATCTGTGGGGTCAGCTAGGTCTTCACAGTCTCTGTTTCCCTGTTGACAGTTAGAATTCTCCCTATGTGACAGGAATTAGATCTTTTAGGAGTTTCTTTCATTTTTCTAAGTTCTGATTTCCACTCTAAATATTTTAGCACAACCATATGCAAATGTTCACCTTTCATTCAAAGGTTCTGCCTCCCCAAACAGAAAGACAGTATGCAACAAATACTCTCTTTTTGTGTATCTTGGATGTTCTAGTGACATTGACAAACTAAAAATTCATAACTATAAATTGTCATAGGCCTTATCAGTCTTTTTAAAAACTGGTAATTTTACTCTGTTGTTTGGATCCATCCTTATGTGCCAACACCAAGGTTTGAGAGTCATTTGGAAAAGCAATCTGAGACTTCTATAATTTGCAACATAACATTTATCTGCGGCACTGCTGTGAGGGATTTTCTGTAGTTCTGTCATCTCCACTGAACCTGTGCCAACATCCCTCTTCTTCCCAAGTGCTGTTGGTGAAGCTCACTTACACCTTCCTGACACATTTCTTCAAAGTGCAGTAAAACCTCTTTCCTGAAGAAGAGATCTTTTTCTCCTGGTAGCAACCTTGAGTAGGATCAGTGCCATCAAGTCTCTCTTCTCCTGCCTCCCCTCCAGCAAATCTCCCAGCCCTTTCTGCTCATCCTCATTTGGGGACCAGGGCTGAATCACAACAAACCCAATTGAAATTCCAGGAGCTGACGTTCACCTGCTCTTCCTCCTGGCTTTAGGCTGTATCTATAGGAACTGTCTCTAGCTCTGCTATGCTGCTCTCATCCTCACTATCTGCTGCCTGCCAATGTGCCCAGCAAATGAGCAAGGATGAGCATTGGCTTTGGGTGCAGGGGAACTCAAGGAGTTTAAATAAAGGAATTTTAGCTTCTATTGCAGCCTCCAGCCATTTGCCGTCTCTTCACTGGGAACAGCCGCAGCAGAAAATTATTATTCTGCTTCCTATCATTTGTACCATATCCTAAAAGGAATTTCTACAAACATATTCTGGCACTGGTCCTAATGCATTAACCACGACAAAATCCCTCTCAGTTATTCAGCTCAAACACTGCCTCCAGTTTCCAGATTTCAGGCTGAAAGTCTGTCTGGTCTTGTTTTAATTGCTCAAGGTCATTTTTACTTTCTATGAGCCACTCCATTATTCATTCGGCTGTGATTCAACACTGCCCAGACGTCCCTCACCTTGGAAACCGTGTAAGCTCTTTGTCCGGAGCTGGTTGTCAGTTGCAACAGGGTCTTTTCCTTAGGAAGAGATTGGGATTTCCGTGGAGCAGCTGGTTTTGCTCCCATAAAAAGCATCCCCACACATATTAAGAATTAGACATTTGGAGACAGGGTGGGTTTTTTCGCACCCCCCACTCCAGCCTGAAGCCATCCTGCAGCTTGTGCTTACAGTCTGATTTCTCATTCCTCCGAGTCTCTGGAATTTTACAGCTGCTCTCCTGGTCTTTGTCCTGGCTGTCTCCTCCATTTTCTGCTTATTCTGGGACCTTGACGCAACTTCAAAATATGTGACCTTGTGATGCGGGATGGAATTTCATGGGATAATGGTTTGAATGAGGTTGTTAAATTTGGAAGCTATTCTCAACAGCAGAAATAAGCTGTAGAGAGTAGTGGCCCAAGTAGGCCTTAACTTCCAGCATCCCTTTGAATACCTCTTAAATATTTTCATAATTTCTCATCCATACACACTGTCTGGTAGGCTTTCTGCTTCTGATGGCTTTGGAAGTTGGTATATGAGTAGCTTTTATGCATTTAGCAAGTTACTTATTTTCTCATGGAACAAGAAAATTCCCATAACTTCAAATCTAAATAATCAAGTCTAAATAATTTTATGTCTCAGGCAAGCATTTAACCCTTTTGAATGTGCAGCTTAATTTATTTTTTATGAGCTTCCTTATTATTATTCCAGTGTCTTTTTTCAATTAACAGTAGTGGATTTTTTGGCTTCTGCTGCTCCTGCAGAGATGCTGACTCCAGTTCCTTACTGCCACTCTCATGGTAGCACTACAAGAGCAAATAGCCTGAATGTAGGTCTTGTGCTCAACTCAGGGCTAAGGCAAGACGTGTCTCTTCCCCTGTGAGCTCCCTGGCCAAGGCAGGTATTTGTGGTGTCTGAGACTGCACCTCAGCATCACGCCCCAGTGATGCTTATCCAGTCGATCAAAGGCTGATTGAAGCATTGCTGCTTTTGTGGCTGCTGTTCTTTCATCCTCTGTGATCTTTTTCCATCAGCCCTCCTGGCTGGGCAGGCAGCAGCGCTGCTCTAACACAGCACTTTCCCTAATGAAGTCTGGCATTTAGATCCACAAAAACTGTGTTGTTTGTCAATACACTTCAACTGAACATAAGCTTTTCCATTACAGCTGTCATGTGGCCCCCTCCCACCCTCTTAAATAACTGGCACCCTGATTTCATTGTCCAGCTAGACAATCTTCCCTCTGCTGCATTTCTAGGATCTCTATTATTTCAATATTCATACATAAAACCAGGTGAAAGAGGGACTTTGGTTCCCTCCACCCTATTTCTCAGGCTACCAGGGTTACAGAGAAGCACGTGTGTGGCTGACAGATAACAAATAAAACCCGGATCAGTCTCAGGCTTGTGCAGAACTGTGGCCATGAGGGCAATGCATCACCAGGGCTCTGTATTTCCTGGGGACCTGGTGGCAGCTGTTCTCAGAAGTAACACCCTGACTCAAACTTGCAAAGAACTCACAGAGTGAGTCATACTCTGCCTAGATTATACGCTGATTTTATGTTTCATTTTTAAAGCTCTCCGAAAGACAGTATTCTGGGGATTATACAGCATACCCTGCTGTGATGGGAAAGGTTTCTAGTAACAGAAGTGAGCCAGGGAAAAGTAATCAACACCTTTTCCCCCTATTTCAAATACACACACACATTCACACACTCCTATGGGAAACTCTTCTTTCCTTACGAAAATGTTAATTGTCCCCAGAGAACTTCTCCCCCTTCTTAACTCCTCCAAAAGCCCAGCTGCAATTCCAGTAATGTTTTCTGCCCTATTTGACCCTTTTGAACCCACTTGCAAAATATGTGGAATGTTGAGGAGTGGGTGTTAAAATCTTTCCTGTATTTTCTTCCTGTATTAATAAACGAGTTAAAAGGAAAGACTTTGTAGCTGATAGGATACTTTGGAGGAGGAAGGAATTCATGTGATTCCTTTCCAAACAGGCACCTGTACTTCTTCCACTCACTTGTTTTCCTATTGCACAACTCCACTGAATTATTTATATATTTATAAAATATGTCTTATATATAATATAAACACGCAATTATATATTTTATATATAATATTATGCATTTTTAAAATATGTTATCTAAATTTCCCCTGCTCAGTCTCTGACCAGAAAGAAAGTCTCAGGTTTCCAACTACTTAGAAACAATTTCTTGAAAACAAACAGCCCCCCCAAACAAACAAACAAACAAGCAAAATAAATCTCCAGATACCAAGAAGACAATAGAATTAAGCAATGCACAATTATAGAGACAAAACTATGACAGGTATAAACACAATTTTTCCCTGAATTGGCTCCCCTTTGACCCCTGCATCTGTGCAAAATTCAATTAATTCATATCTATGACAAGTATGTTTATAATGGGCAAGGAAATGACTATTATGTTTTCATTATCATCCATCATTGTGGTAACATCTGGCCAAAGAGACAGTATGACTAAAACTGTGAATTTGAACAAGTTAGTTATGTAAGTGGGTTATTTAACTATCAGAGGCTCAGAGCACAAAATTCATCAATTAGCTTCTCTGGAGTCAAAGAGGGGATAAATCCTGCTGTCTTTCTTGGTCATGTGATACAAAAGGTGATGCTCTGCTGTACAAAATGCAGCCTGTCTTACATATTTGCCCTCCAGATGTTTACACCTGAATATTTGTTGTTTCACTATGGGCTGTAGATGTGGGGAGTTCTAGCTGCTCTTTGGCTCCTGCTGGGAAAAAAACAAGCCATGCGTATAAATGCAGGATATGGAATAATTTTCAAGTTACATAATGTGTAATAATATTGCACATCACGATTCCTTTTATCTGCCCTCTGCACAGGCAAGAGAAAAAATTAACTTATCTAATGATATGAGGACAGGTCACAGGACTTCACCAAATACACCCCAAACGGACCAGGCTTCCAGCCGATGCTGGCTTTTAGATCCTCAGCAATGGTGGGTGGATCTGTGGCAGTTCCTGGCAGGCTGGGGGCACAAACAGGATCACAGGGGAGACCAATGAACTTCCATTAGCCTCCCGTAATCAACCACAGATCAGTTCTAGACGTGTTTCACCTGTTCACCATCACCCCTGCCAAGTGTTTGGTTTCATGCCCTGTCCCCTGTTCATTACCCCATGTCTCCATCCCCACACTCACCCGATGGCTGTTGGCATGCTCAGCATCTCCTTGATGTTCCAGACGTTGAAGTTCATGTTGTTCTCAGGGCTGACACTCCTAGCGGGCAGCCCCTGGCCCTCACCATGGCCTCGGCCCTCATGGCCTGTCGCCGCTGGCCGCCATAGCGCCACAGTGCCCTGCAGGGAGGAGGGACATGGAAGGAGCCACCAGCCCCACCTGGGGAAATGTCCCTGTGTCCTGTGTCCGTGGGGCCAGCCCAGGGGACACAGCCCTGCAGGCCCAGGGCAGGCCTGGCCTGAGGGTCTCCGGGGCCTGGGGCAGCCACACACACCGGGTCTGCCCACCCTGCAGGGCCCTGAGGGCCTCAGGGGCTCAGGGCTCCTGGATTTCACCTCAGGGCAGGGGGTGCCTGGCTCTCACCCTGAAGGTCCCTGGATCTCACTGTGGGGCTGGGGCTCCCTGGAATCAACCTGGACTGGGGTCCTGGGATCTCATCCCAGAGCTGGGAGTTTCTGGATCTCACCCTGAGGCGGAAGGTCTTGGGGTCACCCCAGGGCTGAGGGTCCCTGGATCTCACCCTGAGGTTGCGGGTTCCTGGGGTCATCCCGAGCTGGGGATCCCTTGATCTCACCTCAGAGGTGGGGGTACCTGGCTCTCAGCTCATGGCCATGGACCCAGGATCAGCCCCAGCTCCAGTCTCTCCACAGGCCAGCTCTTGCCCTTCACCTGGGAGCATAACCCTGGGCACAGGCCATCATCACAGGGCATGGGGACGAAGAGGAGGCTTGGAGTATGGGACACAGAGGGCACCTCCCATGGGAGAACAGCAGCCACAGCACCCATTTCCTTCATATCCAGAGACTGCGTGGTCCCTCATGTAAATATCTCTGGCAGAAACGCAGAATGATTCAATTTCACCCATTAGAAGTATGACAAAAATAACCCATCATCTAAACATTCCCCAGAGAAAGATTCTCAAATATGGTTTTACTGGATTTTTTCCCTCATGCTTCTGTATCCTCCACCTTTAGGAATGTAAAACAGGCACACTTGCTTGCCTGTTTTTTCCTCCTTTAATTCAAAACTATAGCAATACTAGTTAAAACTAGTTTGGTTGCTGGCTCTGAAGATACTCCATAAGCATTAAACCACTATAAAAATAAGGTTGACATAAATTCATAAATAGATCAGGGGAAATGCTCGCATTCCCCTTCATCCTCTTTTGCCTTTCATATCAAAGGCACCCTGGAGTTCAGAAGTGTCAAAATAATGGCTTTCCTGATGTATATATCTGGTTTACTAATCAAATCCCACAGAAATAGAGCTTTCACTTTAAAAAGAAAATAAAAATTCTGGTCTTTTACCCATAAAAAACTTATTGGAGTGGCTTATCGGCATTGTTTTTGCTTGGTTTTACAGCATTAGGGTTAGTTTAAATAACTCGGATTTAGCAAAACAGCTTGATAATTCTCAGCTGCACAAGGAGCACCTAACAGGTTGATTTGCTAGGACCAGTGTGGGGAATTACAGCTTGGATCATGTTCCTAGTTCAGGGGTCAGATAATGGCTGGGCTGTCCAAGGCAGCTGTGGACTGGAAGGCAAACCTTCCTCCAGAGAGCCAAGCTGATGGGAATATTGATGATTATTGCACTTGTTAAGTAAATAAAAGCCTTGTTCTGCTCCTATGGCTCTGCCTATGTCTCTGTTGTACAGCCCAGTGAATGGCACTGCTGCAAAGAGCCTTGCTGTGCCTCCAGGTCCTATACGGCCCCTGCATCAATAATGGTGGGTTTCCATCATTTTATTGCTCATAATTGGAAAGCTGGCCCAGATCTCCCTGCAGAAGAGACTGTAGAGTCCTGTACCCATTTAGAGTACTTCCACTATCCTCAGAAAACGATTTGCCAGTGCTTTGTGCACCGGCGATAAGGCTCAACGTGTTATTTTATGTAATTATAGGGAGCTATTCCTATTTCTGATGTGGCTGGAGCTTTCTGGCATGACTGTCTACCAAGTTTGTGGAATATGATAAATGAGATTTTTGTATTTCCATCTCTCCTGACAACGGAAAGAAATTTCTATACAGAAACGTATCTTTTTAATTATAGGTCTGACAGCTCCCTCCATTTCCGTCTCCCCCGTCCAAAACATGCTCTGGGGAGATTAACCACGTTGCCAGGCGCTGTAGCTCTCCTTATATCTGAAATAACAGCCTGTGTTTCTAGAGTTAGGGAGGGTGGCCAGGTACTTAAAGTCCTTCCTTTAGTAAAACTAGCAGAAGCTGCCAGGAGATAGATGGCAATATATTTGGTATGTCCCACACCATTTTTTTCTTCATTGCACATTTTGTTAGAAACTCAGGGGAGCTCTTCAGTTAATAATGTGTCAGTCTCCAAAAGCGGTCAGGACCCTCATCCCTTTACCTGAAAATCTCTTCATTCCTGAGATGACCTTGGCCATTGTCCCAGCCACTTTTGCTGCTGGAAATACCACAACAGTAATGGGCTCCCAAACTGCAGCTTCCTCCTCCAGCATCCTCTGGCTCTTGAAGCCACCATTGCCTTGAATTTGGAAAAGCAGCCCTGGGCACCCCATCAGCAGCAGGGAGTTTGCGAAGTTGGCACGCAGGGATGTCAATTTGCTGGTGACTCAGAGTCTTGATTTATCCCATTCATGCAATGCTCCTGAGGGAAAAGCTTATTAATCAGGTCTGTGTTTCCAGTGCAGCTCCATGATTTAGGATCCCCCATGACTAAAGTTTTAGTGAGAGTGGAATTATTGCATGCCTTGGTGACTTCTGGAAAGGGCTAGCAAGGTGGAGAGAGGTAGTGAGGTGGCAGTGAGGGGTTTGTCACCTCCCAGGACCCTGAGGATCAGCCCAGTGGGGCTGAGCACAGGCCAGGGAGCACTGTGAAGTATTCGTAGAAGGTTGGAGCATACTGTACTCAGAGAGGGGTTCCCACTGTCCAGCCTACCCCCACAACATGAGTTGCTGACCTTCTCCCCTTGCTGACAGAGCATCCTCCTGGATGCCGAGGTACAGCTCAGTCTTTAATTTGGGGCTCACTGTTGATGCTGGCTCTGGCACAGTGGTGGTTTCTATGGCAACCCCAGAGGCAGATGCAGGGATGCCTCTAGCTGAGGTATCACCAGCCCAGGTATCCCAGGTTGTTCCTCCCAAATCACAGGCAAAAGGCCATTCAGCACATCAGGTTGGACCCTGTGGTCACTCTGCCAGATGGGCAGCAGAAGCAATGGGGCAGTTGTACTGAAAATGTCTTGTGAATGCTCTTTTCTGAATCATTTCCAACTTTCCCCACGCTGTGATGCCTGCGGCAGACGGCTCAGCCTGCCCCAGCAGTGTGCCGGATGCTGCCGCACTCCGACGGGATTGAGCCTTCTGTCTCCATGGCCCTGCTGCCCAACAAGGATCATGCCAGCTGTCTTCTCTGAAAGGTCAGGCATCTGTGCTTGATATTTACCCAGACCTGTGAGATCTTTCTAATGTTGTACCAGTTAAAGATCGAATCCCTTGCCTGTGTCCATTACTGCTGCTCTCTGCTTTGGGTGCAGGATTCTGGATGGAGCCAAGACCAGTAAGGCTCATGTGAGCCCACAGCACTGGGTAATGGGGGGGGTCACCCTCCCTGGGTCTCACTGTACACTCCTAAACATCACCCACAGACCCTACCTTCACTTCCCGATTACCTATAAGCGGATTGTGGTGTTCATGCATAGGGGAGCTGGCCACAGCTGGATCCAGCTCTCCCAGACACCAGCCACAGTCCATCCTTTGAGATTGGGCTGTGATGCTGGATGGGGCCCAGAAGCTCTGACACTAGGCATTGCATTTCTCAGGATCCTGGCAGCCCTCTCCATTTCCTGCCTCTCTCACACCTCAGCTCTTTCCAGCAAAGCCCCTCTCCTGCTGCTGCCTTCACCCCCCGAAGCCCCTTTCACCACAGGAGAGGTCGAGCAAGAGCAAGGCTGTGCCAAGGCAGGGCAGCCACTGCTCACCTTCCCCTCTCCAAAAGGGGGCCAGATCCCTACATCACATTGCTCTGCTCACCCTGACCATGGGGAGAAGAACAAGAGCCATCCCTACCCCAAAGCAGGGTGTCCTGCCAGGGAAGGGCTCACTGGGTTCTCCCTTGGGAGGGGTTTTCCTGACAGGCTGTGGCATCTCTCTGCCTGGAGTAGGATAGCCAGGGACGACACGACTCCAGTGGGGTAAAATTCCATGTGTTTCATTTATTCAAGGTGCTACGTCACCTTCCAGGCACTGAGCTACAGGGCACCTCTGTGCTACATGAGACATCGACTGGGTCTACGACGACACAGCACTCACTGCTACACACACGGCACGGACACGCCGCGGCACGGCCGGGGTCGGACAGGGCAGTGAGGCCAGCGACAGTCCTGCCACCGCTGCTCCCTCCACACTGCTGGCCGTGGCCGTCCCACCGGGCAGAAGTTTGCCTTGGGTTCCATCACCACAGCACTACAGGAGCCAAGAGGGATTTCCAAAACCACAGCTGCTCCGGTGCCCAATGTCGTGGGACTGCAACTCTCTGCAGCCCTGCAGGTCACTCGCAGGCATGGGTGCTCACACACCCTGTCCCTGTCTTCAGGCACTTGGTGCTTGGCTGGTCTCCAGAGCCCCACTCAGGGCGCCTCACGCAGGCACAGAGCCTCGACAGCACTGCTGGGGCCCTGGGCCACCCCACCGATGAGGAAGAGCAGGCCGGGTGCTGGGCAGCTGGAGCAGGAGCAGCGGCCCGTGGGCATGGGGGGCAGTGGCTCCCACTTTTTCTGCGAGGGGTTGAACCCTTCCACTGAATCCAGTGGGCAGGACTGGTTCCCTGTGGGAGATAGAATGGAATCAGAACCCCCTGCACCCCCTCCCCCACACGCTAGCATCTGCCTTTCCTTCTCTGCATGCCTTTGATATCCCAGCAGGAGCTCTGGGCTGTGGGGGCTCTGAGATCCCAGAGGCAATTAGTGGGGGAACAAGAGGATTAGCCAAGTCCCCACAGGGAGGGCTGCTGGCACTAATGCCGCAGTGCTGGCTCTGTCCCCCGCCCCGTGCCAGCACTCTGCAGGGATAAGGGAGAGCAGTTCCAACAGCGGCAGGGTTCAGGAACAATGCCACACCACAGGGATGCAGCCAGCACCACTTGCTTTCCCCATCACCTCCTGCTCTCCTGCCCAGCTCACACTGGGTGAGCCTGGGGGGTCTGGCAGCCCTCGCTGCAGGGCTGGGGGTGTTGTGGCTGGCACCAAACTCCCCAGACAGCCCTTCCTGCTGCATCCCTGCTACTGAGTGACAGCAATAACCTTTCCCCAGCTCTCTCGGGAGAGGGATGCAGCTGCAGCCCTGCACAGTGGGGTTGAGCCATTGTGGGCTATGTGAACCCGGCACACTGCACATGAGCTGGAAAAAGCCAGAGGTGTTTTGGAGGTGAACGGGGCAAGGGGCCCAGTGGGGCAGCCTTTGGGACAGGGCAGTAGGATCCTCCCAAAACTTGGAGAGCACAAAAGGGATGTGGATACAGACAGTGTTGCAGTACCCCTGTGGCTTTGCACAGCCAACCTCTCCACTGTCATGAAGGTCACTGATATGCCACAAAGGATGGAGTTGGAAACACGGGCCACACGCCCTGGCATTACCGAGGCCACCCACAGCCACCACTCTTCCTCCCAGGCAGCCGGCCACAAAGTCAGCTCTCTTCTCCCTCATGCGGATGGTGCGGTTTGGCTTTCTCCATGCACCTGGGGGTGAGAGGGAGTGAGCATCACCCACTGGGGCTCCTCTCCACACGCTGAAGCCAGGACAGCCCCAGGTTAATCGCTCCCTGGGACCAGGGAGCACAGGGCAAGATTAACATGGGTGCAAGAGGCTGATGCTCAGAGCCTGCATAATCATGTCCCTCAGGCACAGACAGCCCTCACCAACCCCAGGAGTCATCCTGGACACATAGGTGACGCTCTCACCCCACCCAGGGACATGGAGCTCACCTTGGGCGGGATCAAACATCTCCACGGTGTTGACGAAGTGGGGACGGGAATAGAAGTTGTGTGGCCCTGGCTGCTGCAGCCCCCCCAGGCTGAAGACAACACCGTCGGCCATGGCACAGGCAGCAAAGGCGCGGCGGCTGGGCACGCTGGGGTAGCGTGTCCAGCTCCTCGTCTCCAGATCGAAGGCCTCAAAGGCTGTGACGGGCAGCTTGCCCTGCCGGCCCCCTGTGCACAGAGGAGATGCTGCAGCTGCCGGTGCCCCAAGCTGGCACCATCACTGTGCTCAGCAAGCCAGAGGGGCCCCCCTGACTGCAGTGCTGAGCAGCATGGAGCCACCCTGGGGTGCACCAGGTCACTCCCTGACCCAGAGGCAGTGGAGGGACACAGGGGATGCTCAGCTTGCCTCAGTAGCACCTACCCAGGACGAAGATCTTGTTGCCCTGCAGGAAGGCGGAGGCCCCATAGCATGGGGTGGGCATGGAGGGCAGGGGCTGCCAGTGGTCCTTCGCCGGCTCATAGACACGGACCAGTGCCTGGGGAGAGGTGTCTGCACCCATTCCCCCCAGTGCATAAACAGCCCCATCTGCAAAAGAGGCAGTGGTGAGGCAGGGAGATCTGTGGGCAGCACCATGGGGCTGGGAGTGCCCCTGTGCCCTCCAGGGCTGGTAACACAGGCACTGCAGAGTCCCATGGGTACATGTCATTCCAGGGTGTCCAGGGGATAGTGCAGCCAGGCCTGAGCCTGGCAATGTCCTGATCCTGATGGGACCCTCTTGTCCTCCTCTTCACACCATCCATCAGACACAGAGAAGAGCACAAGGCCATCCTCTCTAATTATTCTCGGCAGTACCATCTCCCTGGAGACACCATGGCAACACAGCCGTTCTGCCAAATCCTGCTCCTGCTCCCAGTGTGGCTGTAGCCAGCACCCCTGCCCGCTCCCACCACTGTCCTGCCATCCCCTTTGCCCTGCTCAGCCAGCTGCAGCCTGGACCATGCCACAGCATCCCCAGTCAGGAAGCAGACTTGGGCACCACATATGGGGACCAACCCTGGCTCCTAGCATGCCAAACTGTGCCAAGGCTCCAAGGCTGCTCAGGAAACTTTAGGCAAGAATCACAATACGTTCAATGCACAGCACACTGAGCTGGGCTCAAGCAGAGTGCTCAGCCACCCAGCATGGCCCACAGGCAGGGCAGCTGGGGAAGGCAATCATACCTGGAGGGGCTCTGTATTGCTCATCTCTGGGCTGCAAGTGGGCTGGTTTTTGGGGCAGGAGCATGATCCTACCATTAAGTGGCAAGTTTGGCTGCTGGGTGAAAGCCTTATGCAGCATCCCAAACAGCATAGGGATTCAAATCCCACCTGAGCATCCCTGACCCCTGCATCCCCACTTCTCCAGACTGCAGCCAGGTACCCTCCCCATCCCTCACCTCTCTGCACAGCTGAGATGCCCATGGAGGGCTGAGCCAGTGCCGCCTTCTTCTCCCACTTGCCCTCATCCACGTGGTAGACCTCAACGGAGGCGAGGGGGCTCTGCGCCGCATCCACGCCGCCCACCACCAAGATCTGCTTGCCCAGGGCGAGGGCAGCAGCGCCAGCCCGCGGCGTGGGCAGGGGTGGGAGTGTGGTCCAGCGCTGGGCCGGGAGGTCGAGCACCTCGGCCGTTCCCAGGGCTCGCCCGCCGCCCCCGCAGCCGCCCAGCACGAAGAGCTGCCCGTCGCGGTGCGCGGCGCTGCAGTACACCCGCCGCGTGGGCATGGAGGGGAAGGTGGCCCACGCGAAGGCGCCCGCGCCCGCCGCCATGGGCCGGCTCAGCCGCCCCGGGGGTCCCCTGGTCCTGACCCCGCTGTGTCTCCCATCCGGCCCGACTAGGCACTGGCCCGGCTCTGCCCACCGCCTCCTGCGGGGAGAGCATCCGAGTCAGCGCCCAGGCACGCACCGCTCCCATAGCCCCAGCGAGCCAGCTCCCCTCGGCAGTGCGACAGTCCCCGCTTCCTGGGGCTCTCTGCCCGCCCCTTCGGGGCTCCCACTCCCTGGGCTTCTCTGCTTGCACCCACTGGTGCTCCTGCTCTCCGAGGTTCCCGCACTCTGGGCTTCCACTCCCAGGGGCCCCCGGTACACAGCCTGTACCCACCGGGACTCCCGCGCGCCCGCCTCTCTCTGCCCGCACCCCCAGAGGCTCCCGGTGCACAGTCCGGACCCCGCGATGCTCCTGCTCCCGGTGCACCGCCCGCACGCCCCGGTGCTGCCCGGACTCCCGTCCGCATCCCGCAACCCACGGGGCTCCGGGGCACTGCCCGCAGCCTGCACCCCCGGCTCCCTGGGCTCCCGCTGCACCGCCTGCACCCCCGGCGCTTCCCGGGCTCCCACTGCACTGCTCGCATCCCCGGCCCTCCCCAGGCTCTCGCCCGCATCCCCGGACGGCCGCTCCGCCGTGCCCGGACTGCCCGCGCCGCCCCGTCGCTGGGACAGGGGTACGGACGGGGACCAGGCTCACCTCTCCGCCCGCTCCGCCGCTCTCCCAGCCGCTCCGCGCCACCGCCCGCCCCAGGCCCGCCCGCTGCCGGTGGGGGCGGCGCCGCGCCCGCCCTGGCTCCCCCTCCGGGCTCCGCTTCCCTCCGCCCGGTCCTCCCGGTACCACAGGTTCACCGTGCCTCTGCCGCCTTCACCTCGTCGGAAGGGAGCCGCCGCAGGGAGAAGGGCTGGAGAGACCCCAGCTCTTCACTCCTATGCCGCACGCTGCCGGTGCTGGAGCTACACAGCGCCGGGCTCATAAAACCGAGAACCCACCGTCCTGCCCAGGAGAGCACCGCTCGGCCCATCACTGCTGCGGGGCTGCAGGGACAGAGCATGAGCTCTCCTCCACTATGAGCACACCCTTGCCACAGTCTCTCAGCAGCGTCAGGAAGATGCACACGGGTCTTAAACCCTCCACCACCACTTTTGTCCCGACTTGGCTGAGCCAGGCAAATGAACATGCCAGGAAAGGTGCTTCCCACCCACCAGCACAGGCAGAGCTGAGGGCAGGCAGGAAGGAAACTCACACAGAAATGAGCTAAAAAGGTTTGCTTTAAAAACAGGCAGAAGTGACAGGGCATCCGCCAAGAACACCACACCAGAAATGGCACCTGTGGGTGCTGCCGATAACACTGCACTCACCCCGGTACCTGCTCCGCACCAGCCACTGCCGCGGGAGTGGGGAGGGAGGTGTGAACACTGTGAGGCTGGATGACAGCCATGGAGGAGGGATGGAAGGGACCTGCCTGGCAAGCAGAGGGACACAGTGAGCCCCAGCCCTCATGCAGGAGGGCCACCATGGGCAATGCTGCCAAGGAATGGAAAACCATTTCCTCCAGGAATCCCACCACACAAGCTCCTGGGAGCTGTGTTTGGGCATGGAGGCTTTGCCTGTGTGCATCAGGAAGTGAGGGGTGTCCCAGCCTGGAGCCGCTTGGCCCCACAAGGTGGTATCACTGTCCATCCCACTGCTGGTTTGGGGTGTCCTTCTCCGTGCAGGCCAGGTAGCGGTCGTAGTTCTCCTCGCACCTCCTCACGCAGCGCAGGAAATAGTCCTCATCAGCAATGGCCTCCAGCAGGTCTGTCTGCACCAGGCACACGTCGTACAGCTCCGAGGTGGGCACGCTCCTGGGGCTGCTGCTGCCCTGCTCCGAGAACACCTGCAGGGAGAGCAGGGCCTGGCAGAAGCACTTGTGCCCTGTGGTGGGCTCTCTCCTCCCCTGGCCAGGCACCTCCACACTGGACGTGGGTCGGGGGCAGAGGGCAGGGGGATTTCATCTCCGCTCCAGCAGCACAAGGTGAATTTTCTCCAGATTTCCCCTCCCTCCCAGAAAGTGCCTTTGGTTCCAAACCAGCTTGTCACATATGTTGCTGGTGCTCCCTTAAAGGAACACACCACACAGCTGGAAGAAAACAGCTCTGTGGAGCAGCCAACCCCAGGAAAACCTCTGCCAACAGCTCTCCTTTGGCTGCCACAGGAGGGAACAGGGACTTCACCTTCTGATCTTCACCATGGCTCTGCCTAAGGCCACCCAGTAATCTCTTTCACTTCTAGCACTGCTCTATCACCATCACTGACGTGGGGACAGCACTGCAGAGCTGCTGATGCAAGAGGAGGAGAAGATGGTATCCAACCTACGGATCCTGGCTGCAGGACAGTAAAGTCCCAGCAGTGTGGATGAGCCCTGCTGGCAAGATGCTTGGCTGCTGCCCAGACTCCACGAGGCCTGCTGCCACTGTAACTGGATCGTACCTGTGTGATCTGGCACGGGAGCAGCCTTGGGGCTGGGCTGCAGGCCTGCCCTTGAGACAAGCCGAGCAGCACAACCGACCAGCCATACCAGCTACCAATACAAAAGGAGGAACTCCTTGATCAGGGAAACAGCCTGGGGCTGAAATGCAGCAAATGGAGCTGTGTGAGCCACTCTGTCTGCTGCAGATGTGCAGGCAGAGCTGCTGCACACAGGAGCTGTTGCAGTAACTCCCTTGAACCAGGCACAGCACAGACCAAACCCTATTCCTGACAGGTCTGTCCAGGTGGTGACAACTCCTGCCACTAGCTACAAAACTACAACCTGGGAGAGCTCGTATGGAAGGCAATATCCACAAAGCACCTCATCCCTCACAACTCCGTGTCTGCCTGGCAAATGCTGTTGACTATTCATTCACTGTCTGCTGCAGGTTTTCCCCCCAGCACTGTCTTCTTACAGATGGAAATGGGCAGGAGTTGAGACCACTGCCATGCTGGTGGCACAGGGTGCAGTGACACCAAGGCTACACCTCAATCCCCCTTTGCAGCCTCATGCAAAGGACACAAAACATGCCTGACCTCACCAGGGTCACCCCCAGTGTGGCCTTCAGCCACTTACCTGTGGGTGGACAATGGTGTCTGCATCGTCCAGCCGGATGTTGTCATCGATGAAGATGTGGTGAATGTCAGGATCGTGGGGGTCTATCCACAGAGGCTTCCCACCCCGGGAAGAGAAATTATTTCTGGCCCACCTGAAACAGTTATCAGAAGAAGCAGTCAGAGGAGGGAGAAGGTGACAGCTCCCAGGCAAAGGCAGACTGTACTGCAGGGAAGTGGGATGGAGAATGTCCTGTCCTGCTGCCCGCTGTGGCCTCCTGGGAAAGGCATTTTGCACCAGGGTGACAAATCAGGGGTTGTTTGGAGAACAGCAAGGAGTACACCAGGGGATGGAGATCTGAGGAGAGGTATGAGAGCCCCATCAGGCTACACAGGAAGAAACGGAGTGCATAAGTGACAGGGGCCCCAAATACAAAAAGACTTCAAAACTAGGAGTTATCTCAGAAGCTCAGAGAATCATAGGAGACAATATAATGCCTAATCCATTTCCTCAGTGCCCTGTTTCTCACCAGTCAAAGTGGTCTTGGAAGCCTCCAATTCCCTCAAAGGAGCTGAAGTAGTTGTAAAGCTTTTTTCCATCTTCCCGGGTGGCCAGCCGCTCGGCGCCCCATGTCAGCACCACCTCCCGCTTGCTGCAGCGGATCTGGCCAGGGGTGAGGTCCACAGGGAGCTGCAGGACCACAGAAAGCAAGGGAGGAAAGGTTTCCAAAGCAGACAGGTTGTTTCATGCACTGGCAGAGACACCAAGAAGCAGGGTGGAGGCTCCCCACCACCACAGTGTGGGAGGACAGTGCTGGGGAGTAGACAAGAGGAGGTGAGGAAACGGCCCCAGCCAAAAGTCATCCCCTTCCCAGGGATGGAAAGGAATGACCTCCTAGATGCACGCTGCCCCTGTTTCATTCTTTGCTCCCCATAAATGCTCCAAGAAATAAGTGAAGCATCTCCTGAAGATCATTCCCTGTGCTCCTGCCCGGCGTGCTGCCAGGGAGAGAGGAGAGAGCATAGCTGCGATCAGCTCTGAGCCAGGGAGCCCTGCACTGTTGCAGCAGCCACTTCCCAGGAGAAGAGATGCTCTGTCCAACCTGGGATTCCCCAAGAGGAGACCATTCCTACACAGGATCTGCACATACACGTGCTGCCCCACAGCTGACAGCCTCATCCCGAGAAACCGGTGCTTTTAAAGCAGTCTGGCCAAGTTCCTGGAGGGCAGCTTGGCACGGGAGGGCTCCGTGGGACCACTTGGCTGCCCTTCCCCATCCCACCGGACCCTCGGGGCACCACTCACCGCCACGTCCCGCAAGGTGGGGAACTGGGGATGCTGCCCGTCCAGGGCACTGCTAACAGCCTGCAGGGCGCGGGGCAGGTCGGTACCGAAGGTCCTGAAGACCACGGCGAAGGCCCGGCCATCCCGGTGCAGCGTGTCCAGGAGCCGGAAGAAGGAGGGCAGGATCAGGTGGAAGCGCTCGCCGGGCTCTCCCGGCACGGACAAGGCGTCGTGCGGCCGACCCGGCCACTCCAGCAGCTGCAGGTGGCGGGCGTGGAGGCTGCGGAAGCGGCGGCCCGGCCCGGCCTCGGTGAAGGCGGGGTCCCGGCCATGGGCGCTGTAGTAGCTGAGGGCGCCGGGGCACGGCGGGCACAGGGACGGACGGTCGCTCACCCACTCCCACTCGCCTGCAAGAAGAGAGGAGCGCGCTCAGCACCCGCCGCCGCCGCCACACAGGCTCCCCCCCCCGGCCCGGCGCTCACCGGCGGCCCCGGCGCGGCCCCAGGTGACGGTGCTGAGGAAGGTGTTGAGCGCCGCGCGCGGGCCCTGCCCGGTCACCGTGTCCGCCACCACCACGGTGTTGTTGAGGTCCACGTGCAGCACCAGACGCCGCCGCCGCCGCGCGGCCCCGCAGCTCATGGCCCGGCCCCTGGCCCGGCCCCGCCGCTCACAGCCCGGCCCCTGGCCCTGTCCTGGTCCTGGTCCCGGTCCCTGTCCCCGTCCCTGTCCCTGTCCCCGTCCCTGTCCCGGTCCCCGTCCCTGTCCCGCCGCTCACGGCCCGGCCCCGTTACCTGGTGACGGCGCCGCTTCCGCCGGGGCGCCCCCTGCCGGCCCGGCCGCGCCGTTGCCATGGACACCGTGGGGGCGGGGCCGAGCGCGCGCCGCGGTAGCGAGGGCGTGTCCCCGGCCCCGCGGAGAGCGGCCGGAAGCGGAAGCGGGCGGCGCTTCCGGCGCCCCGCGGGCGGCCATGTTGGAGCGGCGGTCGCGGCGCAGCGGCGGGCGCGGGTCTGGCGGCGGCCGGTAGGTTGGGGCCGGCGGGCCCGGGCCCCGCGCCGGCTCCCGGGCGAGGGCGCTGCCGAGCCGCTCGCCGGCGCGGCCTCCCGGGCGCTGGAGGCGGAGCCGCGGCGCTGAGGGCCCCGCCCCGGGCCCCCGCCCCCCCGGTCCCGGGAGCCGGCGCGGGCCGAGCGCGGGGGCCGCACCCGCTGTCTGCACCAATCACCTCCCGCAGTCCCGCAGGGAGGGGCTGGCCCGCGCAGGCTGCCCGCCGCGGGGTCCCTCCGGCCGGCGGGCCGAGCCGTGGGGAGGGTGCAGGGGGAGCGAGGGACGGGCACTCGAGCAGAGGCGTCGCCTCCGCCGAAGGGTGCGCCAGGAGGAGAGGCTGAGCGGGGGTCCGGCGGCCCCGCCGAGCACTCCTTGGGACTGCGCACCGGCTTCCAGCTCCACACGCAGCCCCAGTCCCGCGTCTCGGCCCTGCTGGTAGTCGGCGTTCCGCTCCGGTGCCCCTGGAGCAGCACAGCAGAGCCCTTCCCCAGCGCCGTGGCCCGGGCAGCCAGGCCTCGGAGCTGTCTGTCTGGGAGAGCCCTGCCAGCGCTGTGCGCGCACTGTGCCGGCAGCGCTGTGTTTCCGTGGTCCCTCGACCCCCCGAATGGTGTCTCACTTGAGGGAACAGCCTGTCCGGGATGTGCCTGCTCGTGGCCGGCTTTCCTCCAGCACAGCCAGCACTGCACCAAACTGGACCCAGCCGAGGGATGCTGGGAATTCCTGTCCCCGTGAGGTGTCACAGCCAGAATACCCCTTCAGGTGTCCCAGCTGTTCCCGGGCTTGCTGCAGCCCCAAAATGATCCGTTTTGCAGCCCACTGAGGACACGTAATTGCACTTCTCCCTCGGTCTGACCCTCCCTGCCAGATCAGGATTAATGTGACATCCTTGCTGGCTCGGCTTGGTCACTTCGAAGGTGGTGATGACGCTGGCTGGGGCTCTGGGATCCCTTCCCTGCCTGCCTGTGTGGGATCCCTTCCCTGCCCGCCTCCCCTCCTCTGTGGGATATCCCCCTCCTACTGCAGAGCGACTGCATTATCCTCCTCCAAATCCCTCTTCTGCCGTGACGTCTGCAGAGCACTTGACTGAGATTAGTCTGTCATGTGGAGGTTCTTACTCCCTTGCTGACCTGTGCTTCCCCTCCTGCGGCTGCTCTTGGCTCCTGTCTCTCCCTGCTTGTGCAGCTGGCGGCAGCACGGGCTCTGCTCGGGGCCCTGGGGGGAGCGTGGGACACGAGCAGTTCCTTGCTCTGTCTGCACTAACTTCTCCATCACAGCTTCCTTCCCTGTGCACTGCCCTCTCCCAAGAGTGTTCCTGACACCTCCTGCGTTTCCCTGAAAGGAGTTTTTAACTGGATCCTCGTTGTTATTTTGAGAGCTGTCAGTGGAGCTAAAGGTTTTGTGCCTCATCAGTGGAGCGTCCAGCTGCAGAGCTGTGAGGCCACCAGGATCAGAGTTCTCCTGGGTGCATCCCAAAGTCCTGCCTGGACTGCCCTTCAGTGCCTGTGTTTTATTTAAAGCCATAACTGGTGCTTTTGTGCCAGGCAGGCAGCTGCGCAGTGCCCCGAGCGTGATCCCAGTGTTGTCCCTCGGGCCATTGTGCACTTGGCCCTGGTGATGTGTGTTTCCTTCATACCGCCCTGCTTGAATTTCCTGCTTCCTCCTCACTTGGCAGCGAGTGCCCTTGGATCCACACCAGTTTGCTGTGACAGCAAGGCGCGGACCGTTGTTCAAACAAGGGAACAGCAAGGAGCGGTGCTGCCTTGCCACGGCATTCAGCATCGATGAAGCACAACTGGAACAGCCTCCAGCCCTGCTGCCAGGTCTCCAGGAGGAAGCTGCAGCTTTGGCAGGGACTCAGAATCAATTTTTTGAGCAGCATCAATTAAGAAGCTGAGAAATTGGAGTTGACGCTGGGATGGAGTTGAGGTGCTCAGGTTTCTTAGTGTTGAGATGGGTCGATGGTGCTGCTCTCGGTGTGTGTACAGGGAGAGGGTTCCATGAGGGACTGCTTTACCCAGGGAAAATGCGACCTGATCATCCAAAGCTGGGGTGGGTCAAACTCAAACTGGAAATGAGCTGCAGATTTTGCTGAGTTAATAGTTAGAATCCTTCATCTTGGGATGGATTCGATGGGATTTCCTGAAGTCTTTATTTAGGCTGGGGATTTCTGTGAGAGATGTTTTAGTTTTATTTCAGAGATAAATCAGTGATAGGATTTTCTTGATGATGCTTCTGTCTTGGGTTGTGCCCAGAATCTGACCCAGTGCTTGTGACCAGCCACGCCTGGGCTTAATGGTCTCAGGTCCCTGCTTAGAAAGTTGGGATAATTTCAGTTGCTTTAAGCTAACTATCTTCTTTCTCCTTTTGAGGTGTCGGGGGTTGTTTTTCCAGTAATTTGGACCTTTTTGAAGCACCTGCTTGCCTAATGCCATGAATATTGCAGTGAACAATGAGGAAGAAAAAGCTGTCCATTCCTGGTCGAGAATTTCCTCTGCAGGACAAAAAGTGCTGGAGGAGGCCCTCCGAGTCTTCAACCCGATGTCCAAGGACCTTTCGGACACAGAGACCCAGCTGGTGGCCTTCATCCAGGGCCTGAAGGAGGAGGGCTACCAGCCCACGATCCTGAGGAGTAAGGATGTGTACGGGTACAGCTCGTGCACGGCGGACACCCCGAGTCAGGCGAAGGAGAGCAGCCCACACGGCTGCGCCAGCACCGCCAAGTCTGTGCAGAGTCCGGCCCGGAACGCCACAGCCATGGCAAAGGTGTCCGCTTCCCCCCCCAGCATTCCCGTGGGCTCTCTGAAAGTCTCCGCTCAGCCCGTCTCCAAGGGGGATTCCGCAAATCTCCTGCTGAGCTCCTTGAAGCAGACAGGGTCCAGCACGTCCAAGGCAGCGGCAGTGGGCTTCCCGGCAAACATGTATCCCGATGTGTATCCAGCTGTGAGACTGTCCGTGGTTCTGGAAGCCCTGGTGCCGCTGAAAACCACGGCGTCCTGTTTGGAGTCCAAGTACACGCGAGGGCGGCTTGGGATCTCGCCCTCGGACCTTAAACTCCTCAAGAATTCCAGTCCACCAAGGCAGTTTCCTTCAGGCAAGAGCACTAAAATAACTGAAAGCAAGGGGTACAAGTGTTCGGTGAAGAAAGCACCAGATTCTGCCACCCACGCTTTAAACCTCCTGAAGGCACCAAAGGGTGGAGTGCTGCAGGAGAGCAATGCCTGCAAGGCCTCGGGAATTCTCAACGGGAGAGTCACAGGCAGCTCATCCCAGGGCTGCACCACAGCACCACAGCCCAAGACCCTGAAAATCAGAGATAAGGAAGCTCTGGTGGGAAAAAGAGAGTGGAAGGACAGCAGCAGTTACCGGGAGAGCGTTGGGCAGAAGAAGAGAAGAGCTACAGAGGCAAGAGAAGCACCACAGAGGAAAAAAGCAAATACCATTCCTGTCCGAAAGGAAACTAGACGGGCTCAGAGCACTTTGAACCTACTGAAATTCCGGACCATCAAGGTGGGCAACTCCTCATCTGACGATGAAGTGAGGAGGAGAGCACAGAAGATTCTTAGGGTCAACCTATCACCCGTGATTCGAATTCAGCCCTTGTCCCACTCTCACAGTGTCCCCTGAGTTTCTTCACTTTGTCACTTTTTTTTTGTAAGTAAGTAAATACGAGCCTGGCACCAGAGCGCGGGGAAGTTTGGGAGCAGCTCTGTGTCTCTGGTGCTGATATGCCGACTAACCTGCAGGCAGAGCAGCTGCTCCCGTGCTGTTCTGCCTGTCTGCCACTGCTGTGCAGGACTGGCTGCAGAAATCCAAACCTCTGTTTGGGAACACGGGATGGGACTTCGGCCAGCGGTGAGCCGGGCAGGCCAGAGGGCTCACTTCCTGCTGAGCTTCTCTGGACGTGGCAGGCTGAGCTCTCGTGCAGGGGAGAACACGGGACTTTCTCATGACATCGATGCACTGTGATATTGCTCTTTTTCAAGCTGTACATTTACTGGTTTTATTTTGATCAAATTTTATAACTTTATTATCTATATATCTATATATCCATATATGTGCATATGGCCCAGGAACTGTGGGAAGATGCACTCCTCCATCCCTCTGGGATAGGGTTCAATAGCTTTTGTTCTCCCTCCCCTTCAGCTAGTCTTTTGTTGAAAGGTGCCAGGATTCCTTTGTGGTTCAGTGTTGTGACAGTCTGTCCTGGGCTCCCTCGAGCAGCTCGGAGGCAGCAACATTATAGCCACTTGTTTGTCTCCAGAATGCCAAGCAATTTGGAGAATTACCAGCTGGTAGTTTTAATCCTATTTTCGGTATTACCTCTGCATAGCAGTGGGGGAGTGTCACGGGGCCTGACGTCTGAAGGTGCCTCCTCCCTTTGTTGGTAACAGAAGTTCTGAACTCATGGTAGGGATTTGCCTCCAAAGAGCGATTCCTCCTCAGCACCCAGCATTGCCCCGCTCTCCTGTATCCCAGCTACAGCTGTAGAACATGGACTGTGACTGTTAAAGCGGAAGGGCTGGAATTTTGTAAAGTGTCCTGCCCACCATGTAACTGATTTACTGTTGCTGGGTGTTTCAGGAGCAGGTTCTAGGTGCTGGCAGTGAAGACTTGTTGGTTTTGGCTAGAGTTAAATCACGACAAAGACACAGGCTGTGTTTGAATGTATTCCCTACATCCTGCCGGTCCCAGAGCTCAGTGGGGTATCTGAGCCTGAGGTAAAGCAGAAAAGCGAAAGAGTTGAGAGGACATGTGCCAGCACTTAAACACAGAGAGTTGCTTTCTGTTGGTTTGTGAGGGTGAAGCAGTAGGAGGGGAGGTGGGCACTGTGCTGTGATGGGAGCAGCTTTAGCTGTGCCATCAGGGATGTGTGTCAGGTGTGAAAGCTCTGCCGTCCCCAGGAGGCACTGCAGAACCGCTGCAGCGCCGGGGGCACGCTGCTGGATGGGATCACAGGCTTCACAGGAAGGGATCTGCAAGCTGCAGGAGAAACACCTCGTTGGAGCAGTAGGTGCTGCTGCTGTCACGTAGGAGGGTTAACCTGGAAGCAGCGTTGAGCCGGGCACGGACCTGGCTCTGTACAGCACTGCACACTCAGATCTCTGCAGCAGCAAGCCTGTAATCCACTCATTCTCTCACCAGCTCAAAATACCAGTTGTCTGACCTAGTAATCTCTGTCGACATTGGCTGAAGGGATGAGCTCCCCAGGGAAGCCCCAGCAACTTATGTTAAAGCCCCCACGAGCACCTGGATGGATTTCAGTGGTTTGTAAAAGGGGCCAGTGCCTGATTCCCAGCTCAGAGGAAGACCGTGGCATGGAGAGAAGAGAGGACGTTCATGATGGGGTGAGAGGACAGGGAATTTGAGTGTGCCAAGGTGCGTCTGTGTTCTTCCCTTTCACCCAGATAGAGCAGGGTGGAGGTTCTTCATTGAACAACCTGGTCTAGTGGAAAGTGTCTCTGCCCATGGAAGGGCAGCTGGAACAAGATAATCTTTAAGGTCCCTTCCAATGCAGACTATTCTGTGATTTTATGATTGAGGACATGATTGCAGGCCCTGAACCCCACGCTTGGGTTCTGAGTTGCTGTCAGAGATCATAACTCACAGTGTTTGAGACTGACCTGTGAATGCCGCTGCTTGGCTGCAGAGGAGGAGGAATACTTTTTTCTGCTTCTGTGTTTTGAAATGTCCTGGCAGAGAGTCCCCTCTCTTGACCTGATGCTGGATGAACAGGGACCCTCCATCACTGTCAACTGGCCAAAAATTGCTTTGTCCCTTTTGTTCCCACTCCTTCAGACCTTTCTCATTCCCACGCTCTCAAATGCCAGGTCTCGAAGTCCTGCATTGGCATTTCTCTTTTTGGCTGTTTCCCGAGGAGGGCTCTGAACTCCTGCCTGCAGTATTGCTGTCTGTCAGGCTGCTCAGCAGCTTCCTCTGTTCCCAAACCCTTATAAGGGCACCAAGAGCTGTCTCTGGAGCCTCCTCTTGCGGCGCAGACGTCCCAGCTGAGTGCTTGGCCTCCGCTGGGAAAAGCAACGTGCATCAGCAAGGCTGAGGTTGGGTCAAGGTTGCTTTTCCTCCAGCCTGAGCAGGAAGCTGAGCACCTGAGGCCAACTTAGCAGGCCACATTCCTCCTCTTCACTGTGTGTCTTCCCCCAGCTGCGTTGCTGCCTTCCTCCCCACTCCTCTCCATCACCTCTTGTCTTTCACAGCTTGGGTCTTTGCCAGTCAAGGACTTGGCTTGTACTGTTGCTTGACACATCCAGCAGAGCATCCAGCTTTAGTGCTGCCGTGCCTTTCCCAGCATTGAGCTGAGTGCTGCGCATACTTGGTGATGACAGCTTGCCCTGTGTCCTTCCCAGGCCACCAGCAAGAGGTGGCTTCTCCACAGGGAGAGGCAAGCTTTGGAAATGCCTTTGTGTTACCAAGACTCCTGCCAGGGAAGTGAGCACTCCATAGCTTTGTGCTCAGGGACCTGTCCATCACCATCCCGTCTCTGTCAGCTCTCCTGCACATCTCTGACAGACCACAGGGCTCTGAGCAATGGGGCAGCACTGGAGCTTTGTTCTCTGCCCTCCTGATGTCTCCAGTTACCCCTCACAGGTGTTTCAGGAACTCAGCTGAGAGGATTGCGGCTTGTTATTCGCAGAGGTGCCAGTGCCGGTGACTGCTGCCTGTCAGCTGGTGCTGGCGGAGCGGGTGCCTCAGCCTAGTGGGGGTTGGCTCCTCTGTCCTACAGCTCATACCCATGTGTGGATGCTCCTGGTGTGGATGCTCCTGGTGTCCTGGGCCTGTGACACTGCTGTCTGGTGTTTAGGGAAGATGAAGGGTTTGATCAAACCAGGGCTTGTGCCTAAGACCTGATCTAACCAGAGATCTCCCTCCACAGGTCTCTTCTGCCCCATGTTACTCTGTGGCAGCAGAGTAATATTTACCTTCTGGAGATCTCTGCAGCAGTAACTGGCAGGGCTCATGGAAATGTGTTGCCTGGAGCGCTGTGGTCTCTGCTGAGCGTGTGGTATGCACCTTGTCCAGACCTGTTTCTGTATTAGTCACTTTGAATCCAAGTGCCTAACCTGGCCTGTGTTGTTCTGGGCACCATGACAGCCGAGAGCTTTGGAGACTCTCTTAGGAATGCTTTTAACGCATGGATTTGTGCCACTGTCGCTTCTAGAAATGATTCGGCCAGCGGTCAAAGGGCTGTTCTTCCGACTGATTTTTTTGGAAATCATTTCTCCTTTTATTCAGCTGCCAAGAAGCAGTTTATGCTTCCCCTCCACCAGGCAAGGTCCTTGAGCTTCCTGCATGCTTCAGATGTCCGTCAGCGAGGTCCGTGGGGAGAGCAGCTTGTCCAGCAGGCAGCTGAAGGGGAAGCTGACATCAGATACCAGTTGAAATCACAATGTTAATTGGTAGAAATGTTTTGAAGCTTATGTCCACTGTGATCAGATTTCACCATCTGCCACTGCTTTTAGCTGGAGAAGTTTCTCCTTAGCCTCTTTCCTGCAAGCCCTGTAGTGTGGTGCTGCTGCTTCTAAACTATTTGCATCTCCCCCCTGAGCCAGCTGCTGTAGCAATCTTGTACAGAATTTCTTAAGCACTTTTCTGCAAAATGAGAAGGGATTATTTTGTTACTCCTGCTTGGCAGTCCACAAGTGGTATTGCAGTACGAGGAGGAGGTGTGCTCCCGGGAGCACTCACGTCGCTGGCACTTCTCAGACCAGCTCACACTAACAGGGCTTGGGGGCAGTGGGTTGAGACCCCTCATTGCCTGGTGCTTCCCTGCACAGAATTCAGCCAGCTGCCAGCTGAGAGCATTGCAGGGAAATCGGGAGCAGAAGGGCACAAGTGGGTGATGCTGTGCGTGAGGCTCCATGGCCCTGCCCTGCAGCTGCCCTTGTTTTGCTGCCTGTCCTCCAGGCCCTCCTCAAACACCAGCAGCACTTCTCCACCCCAGCTCTAGCTGTGGCAGGAGGGACTGGAGGGCTTTGGGTTTTGGTCTTGAGCACAAAGGCTGTGTCCTTTTAGTTGTGACTTGTGCTGTGTTCATGGCCAGACTTTGGCAGCATGTGGGAGGTGCAGCCACTCCAGCTGTTCTTCCCCCTTGGATCCAAATTCCCTGCCCTGTTTGGGAGCTGGGCCTTTGGCCAGGGCTTAAGGGATGAGTGGGGACAGAAAGTGGGTTTGTCTCTCAGCTCCAGCTGGGCAGTGTGACATGAGTTGGGCAGCTTCCCAGGCAGGAGGGCAGGTTTAGGTTGGAGGATCCTAGTTTTAGCCGTGGTTGGCAGGTGCCGAGTTGTGGAGCATCAGCTGCTCAGCCAGGCTGGTTGGTCTGTGTGGTTTCTTTTTCAGAATTCAAAATGGCTCTGGCCTGTTTACTCCTGCAGTCAGATGAGGATGGCCTTTTGGGAGCTGAGGTGGTCTGAGGAGAGGGCAGCTGCTCTGGGACACCTTCCTAAGAGTGCTGCAGCCCTTGGCTTTGCCAGCTGGGTGGGCTGGCACCACCTGTGGAGAGGGCAGCAGGGCAAGTTACTCCTGGGCCCTTGCATTTGGGACTCTGTGCTAGAGAACACCATGCTAGAGTTTCCCTCTCCTTGCAGCCCGTTCTTGCCTGGAGCTGGGTGCCTTTAGGAGGGTGCCAGGTGCCTCACAGAGATCTTGTCCCAGAAGGCAGGAGAGCCA